TAATCGGCCCGTTTTGTTTATACGCCGCCGCCCGAAATTTCGGGACCTGCACCCGGCCAGCCACCCCGTTCGCGAGTACGTCGGGATTTTTTCCACCCTTCGATCTGATGGTGATGTTCTGAGAGCTGAATAGCGGCTTAGCTTTGTTGGTTCTTAGTTGTTTGCTTCTTCAGTGAAGATGATGGAGTTGGACAGTGTTGTGATCAGATTTGTTTGGAGCTTGATACTTGTGAATGAGTGGTTATTGGTCATTTGGGGTGGTTGTTTAACCCCTTGGCTACTGTTAGGAGAAATTTGGTTTCGGTGCACTGTTGGAGCCTGTAGGTGTGAAATGTTGTTAACTTTTTCGCCTAAGGAAAATTGAAGCTATAATCGTTTTCATGAACTTTAATTGAGATCGTGTAACAGATTTGATTAGAAATTGTTGTATAATAGGAAGAAAGGTATTTATTGAATTGCAAACATCTCCAGTTTAAGTCTTGTTGAATAACGGAAGAAAAAACTAAAGGAAATAAATGGAAACGCGTTGGTAAAGGAACTGTGAGAGGTCTCCATTCGGTTGGCTAAGTGTTACAATTATTTTCCGAGTTTAGTATATTGTGAATTGACTTTTCGACTTTTCCAATAACGATTATAAAGTTAACTACAGGAAATGTCTAAAATTCAATTGAGAAATTATTAAACTGAGAAAATCATTTTAAGTTGAAACTTCGAAGGGTGCATTTTGACACCTTCGATAGAAATAGTGTTAACTATTATTGCGGAGAAGCTCGGTTAGATCAAATATAAGCAAATTCTAATTCAACAATTACATCTTCCGTTAGTTATGTATTGTATAAATATGATTATTTTAGATTGGTTTCATTTAGTTCAGTTGAGGGTTTCAATGGTGTCAATAGACTTTCTTAGAAATGCGCGTTGACCCGAAATTCTGTCGTAGCCAAGAGGTTAATCGAAATTGAACGGTGAGCAGGTTTGGTTTCGGTAATAGCGATTGTTAGGGTATTTTGTAGCAACGTTTTTCTATGGGATTCTGTCGTGGGAGTTTAGTTTTTGATGTTCTCGGTGAGTACTGTAGGTACTTCGAGTCTTAGATGTTGTTTTATGTTTACAGGAAAGTTACTTTGTTTACTCACGGTTTAAATGATGCATGGATTTTTGATTATGAGCCTTAACTTAATTGAATCGTGAATTTCTGTTCCTGCTTCGCAATTTGTTTATTTTACGTTGTGTTCCTGCGCACGGAATTAACTGTGTCGAAGACGAACCACCTGCAGCTTTCTGTATCTCCTTTATTCGGAACGTTATCAACGTTCAGCAGAATGGTACTCTTGTTCTTCGCGTGACAAATATGGAGAAATCAACTGCGGTTTATCCGTGGAGATTTTACCCTGGAACAGGTGCACGGTTAAGGACTTCCTACGGCCACTGTCGAGATATTCGACTGAGTCTAAAACGAGAACGACTTGGAATTTTGATAGCAGATTTTGGAACCTGTTTAATTTGTAACCTGCACGTAAATATTAATTAATAAATTAATGACCAGCGAAACTTCAACATTTATAGGGAGTATGTATTCTTTTATAGAAAGTGATGAAGATTATATATCTAATGTAATAATGAAACAAATTTCAATCGGGGTTTTTATTTTAATCACAGTTTGGGAGCTTGTATTTAAGTTTGCAGAAGTGTCGAAAAAATATTCCGGTGATTAATTAGAATAAGAAAATTCAGTGAATACTAACTTGCCATTTCGCATGGGAAAATGACATATTTCAGGTCACTTCAATTTTGTTCAATGGTAATCGTATCTTTTTAATGCGGAAAACTGATGAAGATGATTTATTTCGTTTAGTAAGTTTTATTTGGTATGTTGCGTTGGGGTTTTCACTGTTCGAGCCTGTCGGTAGAAATGTACTCTCCGACCGCGCATTGAAATCACCAGAATGCGCTTCTATTAACGCTACACTTGCTGCAGTATCGTACACTACACAGTTTATTTCTACGTAAACCTGGAATTTCGAAATCTTTTATTTTTCAAACTATTTTTAGAATAATCTACTGCATATTTAATTTCAGCAATAATTTGCTTCAGAATTAATTTGATCAAAATCATCTTAAATCATTTGTATTTCATCGTATTTAACCGTATCGGTATTTTAATATTCGATAAAATCCAATCATGGCATCAAATATTCAATAAAAATATCGTAATGTATAGAAATTGAAGAATAAAATCAATTATTCATTAGTGCATAATATTACGTCCTACTTTTTCAGTATTTACATTTCGTAAAAAGCTTCTAAATTGTGAGTTGCTATTATTTAGCCTGAAATAGGACCAAATAAGTTACGATAAAAGACTATCTCGTTGTTTACGTTGATGATGATATTAATAATTAAGATAGACACGATGCAAAATCAATAATTTACATAATCTTAAATGGAGCTCACCGAGAAACAAGAGTTAATAATGTCTTTATTAAAGAGTTATTTAATATTCCGGACACCTTTAAGTTCGGTAGTCAATCATTATGATTTCTAGATGCAAAAGAACGCTGACTCGGTAAACAGTACAAGAAAAAAAAATTAAAATATGTCAGCGTATCTGCTGATTTAGTATCTGTGCTTTCAGTTATCCACGAATTACTACTTTGACAGAAAAGCATTTTTATTAATTATTTGTGCCTTAAAATTATAGATGATACTGTAAAGTATAGGTACTACATTTTTCCATTGCTTCATTGTAGATGATTCAGTTAATTGTAAGACGTCAATGTTTGATATTTACATGTACGAAAATGAAAGAAGGTGAGACAGGGAAAAAAAGAAAGAGGGAGAGAAAAGGTACACTGTAAATATATAATGTAGTGTACACCATACTTTATTATGTGCTTATTTAATATTTCTAATGGCCTACTGTACATAATTTATCAATTCAGTTTTGCTATACGTATATCATTCGAATATTATGTTATACAGTGATGTATCCTATAACGAACGAACGCTATAATGAACACAGCTTTGGAACAAATTAATTTGTTCTAAAACACTCGACTGGACATGTACCGTAACTGTATGAAAAAGTTTTCTTTTAATTTTTTAATGTTTTTTTATTTTATGGTGCAAACTCAACATGTGTATTTATAATAAGTAAACAAAATCAATACGTTTCTTTTTATATAAATGTTCTAATATAACAATTTTTATATATTTACAATGTATTAATATTTCACAGTAAAAAAGACGGTAAACGTTTTTATTTTTCGGTTGAATAAGATACCTTTTATGGAACAATATTCCACTGAGTCTTCAGATCTGGATCTGAAATCTGTAACATAAATTAGCATTAAATCAGCCTGTGTAATTATAGACACTTTACGCATTTAACTGACTCCTCTATATTTTTTACTTCAATTCTTTGGTAGTTAATTAAACAATGATGCATCTATTATTGAATAAAAAATATTTTTTTGAAGTAGAATTTTTATGTTCGTATCCATATGACTGTTTCATAATAATGATAATGTGTAGAACTGTATATGAGAAAATATCAAATAATAATGAAATAAAGTGAAAGCATGTAATCATTCGGTTCACCTGGTCCGTTATTTCATCAATGCATGCCAACCGAATGCGCGCTGCAGTTGCTGGTGAATCAAATCGGAAATAACCAGCGTCTTGAAATTCTGCACGTGCAGACTTAATGGCTTCTCTAATAGCAAAGAAAACTGAGGATGCTAAGAATAATGGTGGTTCTCCAACAGCCTAGACATAGTTTTAATTTTACTATATGTAAATATTTTCTAGCTATTTGATGCACTAAATTACAATAGATTGTTGTAAACTCTATAATTGTAATAACACACTTATTTATCTATTGTAAATATGCTTCGGTTACATATTAATTAACACTGATTACCTTAGACGAATAAACAGCTCTGGGATTTGCAGCACCTTTCAATAAAGACACATTAAATACTTCAGGAATGTCAGTGAAACCAGGTAATTTGTAGGCACCTGGCCCTCTACTGAAAAGGGCCCCATTTCTCAAATATACCATTTCTTCAAGAGTAAAAAGTCCATATCCTTGCACAAAACCTCCTTCTATTTGTCCTATGTCAATTGCAGGATTAATACTAGCACCTAAATCCATGACAATATCGGTTTGTAATACCTACACGTGAATTATTAATATAAAAATATCACTGAAACTTAAAACCATAATGCACATATCATAGAAGATGCTTTGGAATATATACATATATGATTTTCTTACTTGATGATCACCAGTCAGACAATCAATTTCTACTTCTGAACATGCGGCACCATATGTAAAATAATTAAACGGATTTCCGGAATTAGTCTCAAATGAGTATCCAATGTCAGGTGTTTTATAGAAACCAGTGGAAGAAAGACTGATTCTTTCTAAGTAAGCTGCAGTTACCCACTGCTCCCATGTGCCATTTGGGTTTTTATCTATTATTGGCTTTAATCGTTTTGTAATTTCTTCACATGCATTCTATGTAATACAGGATGGTATATTTATTCAATATTCAGTTCCAATTACAATGTATTATGTAAAATTATGTTTACTCACTAAAACAGCCATGCCATTCAAGTCTGAACCAGCACTAGCTGCAGTAGGAGATGTGTTTGGCACTTTGTCTGTAGCTGTCTCCATTATATGTATTTTCTCTGGATTTATCTTCAATACTCTACTTGCTACCTAAATGTAAGGGAATATTTAAACAGAAAAAGTAATGTGTCACGCAAAATTATAGTTATATCAATAAAAAAAATTAAATCAATCAAATGAAACTGAATTACAATAAAGTAATTAAAAATAAACAAATATTACTTGTATCATTTTTGTATGTAAACCTTGTCCCATTTCGACACCGCCGTGACTAATCAAAACGGAACCATCTGTATAAACGTGTACAAGCGCCCCTGATTGATTTAGAAAAAGTACTGTGAAGGAAATACCAAACTTGGTTGGAACTACCGCCAATCCCCTTTTCTTATACCTATTACGTCTATTAAAATAATTCTTTTTCAGCAATATGAATCACACAATAAAGTATATACAAAAAAATATAATAAATGAATCAAGTTCTACAGGAAATCAAGAAATAAAATTGAAGTGATACAGAAGAAGAGAAAAACACTTAAACCTACTCATTATATTGTCGAACTTTTTCAAGCCTTTCAGTGTATTTAGAGGATAAAAGGCATTCTTCCCAACAACGTTTCATTGTGCAGTTAATAAGTTTTTGATTGTAATGGGTCGTGTCTCCTTCTTTATACAAATTTAATTCCGCAATCTGTTAGAATTTAATTATACAAATTATTTGCATTTATTTCATATACTACAACGTGATTTATTACTGTACCTTAACAGGATCTAGGGATAAATCTTCTGCGATATGTCTAATAATAGTCTCAATGACAAACATTCCTTGCGGACCTCCGAAACCACGGAACGCAGTATTAGATGGTAAATTAGTTTTACACACAATACCATAAACATCACATACCGGTATGTTATAAGCATTTTCACAGTGGAACATGGCACGTTCTACAACCTGCAGAAGAAATAATTTCACAGTTTTATTCAACAATGTAATACCAAATTTTCTCTTTTCTCTTTGTACAGTTGCAAAAAACTCAAAAATATCTCACCGCAAGAGAAAGATCTTTCGAATAACCAGCATTATTATAAATATACACTTGCAGAACTTTAATAGAGCCGTTCATATTGTATCCAACTTTATACTTAAATAAAAATGGATGCCTTGTACCAGTTATCATCATATCTTCATCTCTGTCTAACATACAACGTACTGGTCTCCCTAATCTGTAACCAATACAATAATGTATTAAAATATCCACTATTTTTAATGAATTCATATTTACAATTATCCTTAACAACCAACACAGTAACTATTTATTTCTACATACAATTTTTAAGGTGTGACGATACCTATGAGCAGCAAATGCAACGGGTAGAGCGACAACTGCAGTGCGAGATTCCTTTCCACCAAATCCGCCGCCTAATCTTTTCACTCTTACCACAACTCTATTAGCGTGAACATTCAAACAATGTGCAACGAGTTTCTGTATTTCCGTGGGATGTTGCGTGGAACAGAATATCTCCAACTCGTCCTCCTTCGGAACTGCCAAAACAGCTTGCGTTTCAAGGTAAAAATGCTCTTGCCCTCCCATTCGAATTTCACCTTCTATAATGCGGTCTGATTCCGAGAAGGCTTTTTCTGGATCTCCCTTCTTTATACGTTTTGGAATTTCAGTGAAGAAAGAACCATACTTAATAGCATCCTATTTAAATAACGTTAAACTTATGAAGACCGTGTGACTTTAATATCATTTCTAAAATTATATTTTCATATTCTACCTCTATTGTGAAGATTGCTGGCTCAATATCTTCGTATTCAACTGTAACCATTCTAGCCGCTTTTTGTGCGATAGACTGACTGACTGCGACTATTGCTCCGATCGGTTGACCTTGACTAGTGACCTTAGCAATATACATTCATCAATTTTTACTTTAACACTTTATAATATTACAAAGAATATTTGAACATTCGTTCAATTCGATCAACCTTAATCCTTCGTTTATCCAGAATGGATGCTCAACACGTTGAATGCCGCACGACTTCATGGAGCAAAATACACAGAACGGAAAGAATTCAATATTAAATCATTTTATCGAATTGCATTATTATTACTGCATATTCGTCAAGCTGAATATCACCTCATTATACATCATTATTTGTAATATAGAAATGTTTCTAGATAATCATCGTTTAATTGAGTGAACTATAGTAATTCGGTTTGGTTGGGGCTCACAGGTAACCCCCATGGCATTCAACGTGTTAAATTATTCCAAGTAAAAAAATATTGTTTTCTATCGTATTTCACCGCGAACAAGCCTCACCGTTTCCGACACGAAGACTTCTTCATCGTGGAACACAGGCCCGAAGTAACGTTGCTTCTCAGGTATGCATCGCGCGCTATAAAAGGCTACAACACCTTCCTCAAACATCGCCTTACTCGCGTCGATTTTCAAAATTTTCGCGTGAGCTCTAGTCGACAAAACCAGTGACAAATAGAGTTCTTCTGGCAATTTCTTTATGTCGTCGCAATAAATCGCTTCTCCAGTCGCTTGCTTGAAAGCGCTCGCGTGTACAACGGGCCTTCCAATTAAATCATTTGCTTCTTGATCCTTTGAAACCTGATACATCAAGAAACAATATTCAAACAGTGTACAATGCACGAGACTACATGACTATAAACTGGACGAGAAAATGATGCGTACCATTTGATAATATTGCGAGCTTCTCGGTTCCTTATCTTGAAAACCTTCCGCGCCGCTTGCGAACGTCGCCGGCCACGATGGACGAATGTCCAATGTTGACTGAAGCTTTTCGTGTATACGTAAAAATCCTTTAAAGACCAAACTGTGAAATTGAAGGAAAATTTGATTGGTAATTCGAATCGTAATTGATAGATTACTGTTTCGTTAATTGTATAATTTACTCGTACAAAGCGAATTAATCAAAGGCAAAAGAAACTACGAACAAGTACGAGAATTACATACCTCAGAGTTAAAGATTTGCGATACTTGACCATACCACCTGGAACGTTATCCGGAAGCGGCAATTCATCTAACAGCGAAGAATGAACATCGTTGAGAAGACTTTCATCCCAATGTCTAAAAGAATTCATTGTTTCCCAGTGAAATGGTATCCTCAAAAAGGGAAATTTCATGCATAACCGATATAAAAATGAAATGAAATACCTTCCAATCATAGTTTCGCAAGTTTTCCTCGCCAAGACTGTTGTCGGAGCCATTCCGCCAAACGCCAAACTCGCTTTCTGTACAATGTTAGTTCCCGGTTCGAAAAATACATTTAGCGCCATATTCACAATAGCGATATCATCGTCTCGTCTTCTAGCTTGCTTGTAAGCCACAAAATACTGATTCTGGAAAATGGAAGAAAGATAAGACGATACATTCGAACTGTACTAAATTTTCTTTAACCTTTAACTGATGCGAATGACGCGGATAATAATGTAAAATCAATTTCATCAGTTTCTCTTTGCCTATTATCAATTATTATATTCATTTATGGTTATATTCCTAATAAATAGCATAATTCATCAAGACGATGTATTGTCTCGTCCCAATAGAATAATTATATGTACTCAGTCACACATGTAGTGTATAGAATACACCGCGTGGGTAGTTAGGTGAAAATTCAGGGCGCGAGTAGTTAAAGGTTAAAGAGTAGTAAGTATTTAGAACAATGGAAAATGTATAGACGTGTATATTCGTGATTTACTTCTTTGGTGAAGGGTATACGAATCGCAATCAAAACTTCGTCTGGTAAGACTATATTCTGCCGGTAGCCTTTAAAAAAAGTATGATCCATTGGGACAACTCTATTTCCGTTCCCGTAGCTGGAAAGACATAATTGCACGCCTGCTGCCATGAAAATTGGATTTAAATCTGATATAGGGCTTCCTGTCATTATGTTTCCCCCAACAGCCTATTACGGAAATATGCAGAACAGTTATAATTATACGAAATTGCGAGTCGCTCCAATATTGGAAAGTTATTCATGAAAATATGGAAAACTTACAGCTACGTTTCTGATTTGCTTGCCAGCAAACCAATGGAGCATGCTAACTATTTCGCTAAAAATTCGTGTCTCGTGTTCTGCGTCAGAGATCAATCGAGAGCATTAACTTAAGGAATTCGGAGATTATCTCGTAAATGTCACTAAAGTTAAATTGTTTACCAGGTCTTTCGTCAATTCGTTGTTTTAATACCTTTTCCATGTCAACGAGCGTATTGCTGGCACCCAGATGCAACAGTTCTCCGTTGTCTTGAACGGTACACATATCCTCGACCAAAATCGGATGTATAAGCCACGGATAGGACAAATGTTTAAATTTCACCTCAACACCTCGAGAAAAATGACAAAACCTCGCTTATATACGTGCAAAGAAACATGCAAAGTAATTTCATTCACTTATTGGTACGATTTAGCATTATAAAATCGAATGAAAGTACAATTATATTTGATCTAGTAAAAATCATGAAGATTCCAGCACTGATTATAACATACCTATCTCGGTATTTCCTACGACAATCTTTGCATTAGGATAATTGTTCTTCAAAAAAAGTAACTCGGTAATATTTCGCGGTCTGAACCAAGTAACATTTTTCCCAGAAATAACTAAGTATTCGGTGAGTAAGTAAGGATCGGTCTGAAAATCCATTACGCCGATTAAGGTTTCATTTAAAATGGTACTTACGTTAACTTTGTGAGTTGCACTGTTCAATCGATGAAGCAAATATTTATTTATGATTTCTTACGAGCAGTCTGGGCGGAAATATAATTTCTTGAGACGGATCGTACGGTCGGAATTCTTTTGAATTGAAAACTTCGGCCGGCTCCGCGATTGGGATTTTTTTGCAACAATTCTCGCCCATTGGACAGACTCCGTTCGGTAATGATTTTTCTTGATGATTTGACAGTAATTGCATCTGTTCCCATTCTTCGGTGAATGTTTTGAACGCTTCTATGATAGGACGATACCCGGTGCATCTGCATAGATTTCCTACAAATCGTATGTGAAATAAAATAATAGTTGATAATTATTATGCATTCACACGTGTCCATGATATGACCAAATTAAAATCGCTTAATTGTATCGGTTACTTTTCGTATTGATTGTAAAAGATATATTTCAAACAATCGGGAAATTTGAAGATACCGTTATCTTTTATTGCTTTACAAACTTTTCCGATACATTTATTTTATACATTGTTCGAATTAACAACGAGGAAGTCGCTGAAACTGAAAACAATTCTAAAATGACAGCGTTAAATAATACTACGGATGTGTTCTAAAGGTTTTTATTATTAAAATTCTACAATATAAATATAATATAATTACAATATTATTAACAATTGTATTCTTATAGTACTAAATTATAAAATTCGCAGGAAAGTCTCCGCGCACGTTTGAGTCCATTGAATTGTTAAGGAATATAATAACAAATTTGAAAGTACCACTCCATGTCTAATCCACGATTTCCGTTCCAGAAGACGCCATTTTCTTGGTGTATAATGCGACTGCCAACAGAGCAGTTGTTTATATTCTATTCTTTTCAAACATAATAAAGTAGGTCTTTACGCAAACGTAATTTTATTAATAAACTACCTTCTCCGCAAAGATTATATTTTCATCGTCAATTTTGCTAAATTCTCGGCAATATCATGCTTCTGCAAACGCAGGAGCTATTACCATTCATTTTTCTAACTTCCCGCATGGTTTTCCTTTCACTTCGTTCCCAGTTTCTTCATAGCTCAAACCACTCAATACACAGCACATAAATTTTGTAACAACTCTGCAAAACAACATTTTTCAGTTAAGGCCATTCGAAATTCATCATAAATTGGTGTAGGTAATTTTAACACAACGGTATTAACAGACATTGCAAAGACACATATGGAGGAAACACTTTGAACTATAAAATCACTTGGTATTGGTAATATCACAACTAACACACACCTACTTCTATAAATTAGAAAAATAAAACAAGCATAAAATATTTCTTGAATTGATGTAAGAGGAATTACAGTTCGCCGTCGACGACTTCCTCGCTGTTAAACAATGTCACTTTTTCCAATAATGAAATAAATTTCTTTGATTCTGACAACAATGCTTCGCCGTTCATTAAAATCACAAAATACAATGCCACTTAAAAATATGAATTTACTTTTTATACCAGGTACAAATACTTACATGTTTTAACCACATAAACAAACATCTGCATAGACTCATTTCGAAATGCACGTAATTAAAATGTATATCTATATACAATAATTGTATGTTACATTAAAATATTTTTTTTTCAGTCAAACAAGAAACGTGTACTAAGAAAAATAATTAAATTAATCAATCGAATAATCAAGTAATCAAATTAATCCAGTAATCCGTGGTTAATTTGAATTAATAATTATTAATGACCATTGAAAGGAGTTTGTAAGCCTTTGGTTTCCGTATTACCTTGGAATGCAATTTCAAGATCCTTCATTGTAGGTTTCGGTGTGCTTCGTAACAAAGCATACATAGACATAACGATTCCCGGCGTGCAAAAACCGCATTGAGAGCCATGAGCTTTCGCGATACGTTCCTGTACCGAATGCAGTTTCGTTTTAACGCTACCAATACCCTCAACTGTGGTCACCGCCATACCGTGCACAGCACAGACGGGTGTTAAACACGCGTTCACTGCCAAATGTCTATAATAATTGTCAGGTGTGGGCCGTCAAGGAAAACAATCTGTTCAATGTAAAAACTCTGCGAAAGTTGCAAGTAATAATAGAAAACACTAAAATAGTGAAACGTATCCTTGAAGCTTCTACAACTCTGCAGAAATTATTTCTACAATGTATTCCACGCACATGTGCGTTTTGTAATTTACTATTTATCGGAAATTTTAACCGATACCATCGCTAATAATTAGCATATGTTTATTATACAATTTTAATTCAGCCCGAGATGATAACGATGTAAAAGGATACGAAATATTTTTCGTTTTGAAATCCACCTTCGAGATCATTACTGTACAAGCACCGCAACCACCTTCCGCGCAACCCAATTTTGTTCCAGTTAGGTATACTGTGTTGTCGCCATTAAGGATTTCAATAGAATTGAGGGTAATTAATATTTGAAACAAGTGAATTACGATATTAACACGTTGAATGTCATGGGGGTCACGGGTGCTCCTCAACTAAATCGAATTACCATGGTACACTTAATGGAACAATGATTATTTGAAAACATTTCTATATTATAAACAATGCTACTTAATACGGTGACATTCAGACAGATGAATGTGCAGTAATAATAATGCAATTCAATAAAACGATTAAATTTTATACTTTTTCCATTTCGTGTATTTTGCTCTATGAAACCGTGCACTCGACGTGTTAACGAAACGTATTCGCTTTATACATTCGAAAAATCTTCGAAAGCGATACGAGAAATAAATAATAAGGACATATAAATATGTTTACATTTGCATACAGTTTTTTCTTATTGAAATAAATGAAGTCTTCCATTTTCGATCAGCCGTGTGTTAGCATAGTAAATGCTTTTTTGAAAAATTGTACTGAAGGTGCAAAGATGGTTTAACACATTGACTGCCACGAGAATTGTTACTGTTTCGTACAATAATATTTATCCTACCGTAACAAAGTTAAGTATTATCAGAAATACATATTCAGAATGTGGTGATATAGTACTCATATGAAGCTATTATCTAGTTACTTATGTCACTAAATATTTTCATTCAACATCAATTTCCTTATTGTAAATATTTCCAAGCAATTTGGAAGCTCCGGCCACCGGTGACCACCATGGCAGTCAACGTGTTAAACGTTTGAATACCAATGTATTATAAAAGGTCGCGTTATTGAGAATTCCAATGTTGTAAGAAGAAAAACAACTCATGCGTTCATCGGATAGTAGAGGATTTTTAATATGGAAATACGTGATTACCTTTTACATAATCTCTAGATCGGCTTACGGCTTCGTTAGAAGTCTGAGACTAATAAGTAATCAGGATTCTAACGAAACGTCCGTCGTTTAAATTATTACCATTTCCAAGGTTTATCTAATTATCTGATTTTTTACAGTTGTCATGCTTGAAGAAAAAAATATTACAGCAGAAACAGCTTTTGTAGTTTTAGTTGTGCAATTTTAATGTTAAGGATACATTTATTTCTCAAGTACCATAATAATGTCCATTCTGGTTGGACATTGTCATCTAGTACCTAAAATACAGTACGAGTGCTTGTAGCATATAATAAAATCATAATATACGTAAAATTATAACAAAAAAATTCTTGATATTCGAATCTGTTCAAAATATTATGAAATATTGTAAGAGTATTATTAATATTAAAAGTATAAAATATTAAAACTCAACTGATAGCAATAGACTACTTTTCTCAGTTTAAATCTAATCCAATATGGCTGCGATCATTGCGCCACAACTGTCGCGTGAAATAACAGAAAAAGTATAATCAGTATAATGCGTGAGTTGGTGTGCGAGTAACCAATTGATCTTGATTGCGTTAAATAACCTAAGTAAATTATAATTTTTTTTACTTAAAACAGAACGGTTAGAAATATAAATTTTGGAAAATATAATATTTAATTAATAGTATTATTTTTTATAATTCAGTTTTATGATTAAGTTGGTCTTTTTTATTCATAGTTAAGTGCGAAAGTTTTTATTTAAATAGTTTAACATTTTGTGTACATACATACCTCCCTCCCATTGACATAAAAAACTAAATTGTGAGTTGTTTTTGAGTCCTTTACAGTGTTGAGAATTGAAGTAATCATTGTTTCCACTTATAGTGTTAAATAAACCTATAAAGATAATAGCATAACAAATAATGTTTGAAAAACTTTCATAATTAATTTAAAAAATTAACATGGTTCACCTATTTAACAAATTTTACATATAATTTAACATATCTCATGTAACCTTCTCTCTGTCTAATTTAAATATTTGAAACAAATATCACATTGATTATAGAAGCAATGGTGAAGAACGTACTTCCTGAAGTAACATTACGTAATACCACAATATCAAACAAATGGCACTTATAAGACCCTAAGTTTATATTTTATTTTTATTTGTATTTTATATACTAGAAGCAGTTTAACTATAAATTAAGGAATCTTTAGTAATTATGAAACTTTGCTCAATGTTTAAAACGTAGGATGCAAGTTATTACCGAGAAAAACTGATTTATTTCACAGAATATCCTAAGTATCTTATAATATATAATAAAGTATCTTTTAAACATGTTCTCTAAGTATCATTATACAACTGATAGTGATAATTCTACTAACAAATAATCTAAGTCAATTCTGTTGCAAGGCGTATTGCCTAATTGATAAGAATGACCTATGCTCTTGAAAAAAATCTATAACATGATAAGTGTAGGAAGAAAACACAATTGTATTAATAAGTCACATGTTTTTAATTGAACTGAATAATGAAATAGTATTTAACAGTTTCATACGTATATATCACACTTTCCTGTAATATATTCTTTACAAATAGAATATATCAAATACACATTTTATGACACAAGTAAAAGAAAGTTGATGCATTGGTAATCTTTCTTTTTATTTTAATCAACAGGATTTTCATTTAACTTAATATCCGTATTAATGAAAATTTTATCCCGTTTGTTAATGTTAAATTAATATTCCCAACGTGAATATCCATCAACATTCCAAATTGTACCATCACAATTCAATTCAATGTACAGTTTGCATGTTACGTCGCAGTATTACGTCATGTATTCACTTTCACGGAACTAAGTTTTTAGATACGAATTAAAAAGTCGTTGTCTATCAAAACAAAATTCTGTTAAACACTCACCTCTTCAAAATATTTTTAACTTTTACACCACTATAAATCACTCGCGTGCAGTTCGTTCGCGTACCAACGTACGACTAACCGTCGGGTTATCAGGTCTGATACCTTTCATATATGACGTTTTGTTAAGAGATATTAAAGTGGATGAAGCAGTTGGTCCCTTCCACTTCTTATGCTTCAAGTGTAATTTAATCGTTGTCTCATGCGTTCAAAGATGTGTTTGTATCTATCTTCTTTTAACACAAATACGATTCTGTAATTCAAGTTCAATTTACTTTCTTTGTGTTTTAAATTATTTGCATCATTCAACTACAGTTTAATAATCGGTATATACTTACGAAAAAACGTTTCTCCTTTTCCTTTATTATTATTACACCGCGAATTCGTTTAATTTACATGATAGCATTACAATTTTCAAAAAATTGAAATAACAAGAATTTTAATCAAGTTTCCCAAGCCTCTTATTTTAAAAATAACTTTCCAAACCTAATGGAACTCCTGACAGGTTAGACATTCTTTATTTTATTATCACAATAATATTAAAATACACATGTGTATGCGTTATACATTTTTTTTAATTTATAGGGATATTGTATTTTAAGAAAATTATAAAATGACTTCCTTCATATATCATTTTTATATACATATATAAAGACAATTATATTTAGTATATGTGGTATTTATTTTAGACAATTTTTATTTTCAACACGCCTTTATTATTAAAAGTTACAGAGTTTAGAAAATATAAAATGTCAGTATAATTGTTTAAATAAATATTTTACCCTCCAAGTATTTGAAATTGTGAAATATTTTAGACAATATGAATATCAACTTTTCTGATGTTTGATGTTTAATCGGAAGATAAGAAATAAGCACTTCGATCACGTAGATAAATAATACAGTAAGATAACATAGTTTCTTGATAATTATTTTCCAAAAAGAATATTAGTACGCATGAACTTTAATTCATACATTGTTAAAAGTCTCGAATTTAAAATATAATCACTGATAAGAAATCAAATATAAATAAACAAATGATATATCTCATAAATTATTATAAGGCAAGAAGATTACTTTGCTGATATAGAAATCCAAGGCTGGTTACAATTCCCTCTTCATATGTACGAAAGCACTTTCTGTTTATTCTCCTCAAGTAAAATGGTCAGACAATGAAATATATACAACTACATAATAAAAAAATTGTGTCCAATATGAACGTACAAATATATCTCTATATTTCAATATAAAGCATTCGTAGTTGAAATGGTGTATACAAGATACTTCATTCCTATTAACAAATCTGGAGAATAAATTGTCGATAACGTCGAACACGACAATGAAATAGTTTGAAATTCCAAAAATTCCGCGAGGTTTAAACAAAAATTCCCACAACTGAAATGTGTATATGGATTTTCAGCACAGTCGATCACAAGTCTGTGTCTTAAATTTGTATAAAAACTCTATAACTTATTATATAAATAACTTTATCTTCGGTATAGTCGCAGCAATGCTTCGTCTGTGGTATAATACAGAAAATGTATAAAATAATTCATTATTTTGTGGGTAGATGGAGCAGTTGTTGTGCATAAACTGCGAAGACAGTTACCAATCTATTATTAGTTAATTCAAGAGACCAGCTGATTTCTGATTTCGCAGAAATCTGGTACTTGTATCTTTCACTGCTTTTGTGTTGAACTTTTTGAGTGTTTATTTAAAATGACGTTCCTCAAAGAAAACAACAGTGTTCTGATAATCCTAGACCGTGAAATTTTAAAGGATGATGTTGATGACTTTATAAAAAATGTAGAAAGGCCTCTTCGTGATGCCGAACAATTGACAATTATACCAACAAATGAATTAGAAACACGTAAGTAATTATCTAAGTACTTGAAACAGTTACATTAAGGCTGGCACGTGACGCTTTTTTTATTTAGAAAATGGTTTTATAGTATATATTACTTGAATGTAATTAATGTATTCAATCTATATAACATACATTTATTGTAGGTGTTAATAACGCACCATCTTACAACGTGATTATTTCTGTTTTTAAACAATCATGTCCGAATTACGAAACATATTTGGAAGATTGTCTAAAAATAATGAAACCAGCAGGTATTTTAATTATTTATGAATCATTTCAAGAAAAGAAAAATGTACAATCTGAATATGACAAGAGAATATCAAATTTAAAATTAGCTGGTTTCAAAGTAAAATCACCTGAAGATATAGATACTCGGTTAAAAAATTTATTGCTTAGTGTATACAAAGATATGGATAATGTTTCTGAAATTGTAGCTGAAAAACCTTCATTTGAAGTAAGTTGTTCCGTTATTTACTTTTTAATTATTATAGTTAATACATTATCTGATACTTTGTTTTGCATTTATACAGATTGGTTCTAGTATAACGCTTAATTTTGGGCAAGCGAAACCTAACGTTTGGACATTAGACAATGTTGTGGATGAAGAATTAATTGATGAAGATGAACTTCTTGATGAAACAGATGTATTGAAACCAGAAGCTTCAAGTTTAAAAGGTAGAAATATTAAAACATCTGTAGAGTTTTATAAATATATTAATTTTTGTAATTCTATTTCAGTCTGTAGTACAACAGGAAAACGGAAAGCATGTAAAGATTGTACGTGTGGATTAGCTGAGGAACTAAGTGGAAAAATTACAGAAGAGAAAAGTGTAAAGAGTTCCTGTGGAAATGTATGTAATACCTGATGAGTACTTCAAATAAAAAAAAAAGAAAATTAAAAATTACATAAAAATTTCATGCATTTTACAGTGCTACCTTGGTGATGCGTTTAGATGTGCCAGTTGTCCCTATCTTGGTATGCCTGCGTTTAAACCTGGCGAAAAAGTTGTATTACCCGAAGCTCAGTTGCAAATATAATATAGAAGAATTTTTGTAAGTCAGATGCACATTTTTTTCTTTTTGCATGTAATTGTTGTAATAATAATTTCATTGTAGGTAATATATGTTATACTAAATTACTCCATCAGTTTTATTTAATAGAAAATAGTTTTCCTACTTCATCTTAAGAAATAAAAAATGATACTACTTATAATATAGATGTTTAAATAATGTATTTCTGTAATAAACATGTGTAAAATGAGTCCTGTTAATTAATTAATTTTATTTTCATTTGTATACAATGATGTTCAATTTCTTGATTGTAATAGAATGATACAAAACATTTCAGATGTTCAGTACTTTTGATGCATCGTTAAAATACATCTTATTTTCAAAAGCTAGAAATAGTCATAAAAAAAGACGTTTAAAAATTTAGTAATTTTGGTATATTTACGAAATACATATTATTATTAAGATAATAAAATAATTTAAATTTTAGATTTAACTTTTTATTAAGTACAAACACAAGAAAAATAACAAAGTACATAAATCAGTATTTTGCTTGTGAACTATCCACTAACTCCTTGCTATCAGGGAATGTAAATATTTCACTAATAAAGCCACTATCCCACCTCTGGGGATGAGTGTTCGCGAAATGCTTACATTCCGAATATAATGTTCAACATGCATCACATGTATCATTCTATTTGAACATATGTATTAAGGAATTTAACAAATCATACAAACATCTTATATATAAAATTGTGTACTAAAGTCTAAAAGCAAAGATCGCTATGTCGTAAAGGTCAATAACGTTTCTAAATAATTTTTTCCTTTACACAGGAACAAAGTATAATCGTCATGTACTTAACTTGCTTCGCCTTTTAGACAACAGGAACGTTATTTCATCGACCTAACGTATTAAGAACGAAAGACAATGAAATCAATGATCAGTTCATTATTTCTACCTTTTATGAAATAATGAATTGTTTGTACTGTGAAAGAAACATAGTATCTTGTATCCAATATTAAGTATATAGCTGCATGTAGCTGCGCCACGGCATTGCACCATATTCGCTATTAAAACTACAACTTGTTTCATCTCTTATTTATTTGCTGCTTCTTTCACTTATCGCAGTAACGACACGTTTTTACCATTAATATAAGATGATGTATAAATTTATTCTGTAAGACTATTCTGAAATAATAATTTTAAATGAACAACAATTATACTATGGCTAATGTTAATAATTTTACACATGACTTTGGTACAAATTTAGGTTTACGTTTTAAGTAGTTGGATGTTATTAATCAGCCACTTGTTAATAATGAACGATTACCTATTTTAAACATAAAGAGAGCAGTAGAAAGAACAGTTTGATACATAAGTATTGGAAGTAGTTATGCAACAAAATATAATATGATCGTTTTGAAATAAAATTCATCCATTATTGTTCTACAGAGGCTGTTTTCACTTAAATGTACTATTATTTGTATTCTACCCAGCAAATTAAAAGTTTACTAGGAATCGTCCAGTCTGCAACAAATTTCGTTGTATGCATTGTACTTCCTAAATGTATGAGTGTTCATAATATATGTGTAAATGACCTTATTATTATTTCGAGTTGTAAACTCCTGATTTTCAGAAGTTTACAATTTACGTGTACTATGGATTTTCACAAGTCGCGATGAATATTTTCTATATTCGAGTGCTGCATTGTTGCTTCAACTTGAGCGTATACGCTCCTGTACGAATATATAAAATAACGCTGTACAAGATTTATACAAATAGCTGCAGTTCCTTTGTAAACAATATTACTTATGTTAAGTTGAATATGAAGGCCAATTTTTCAAGTCTGCCCAAACAACGCTTTTACGATCTTAATGTACATAAGGTATTTAAGGTGATATTTGTAAGGTGAAATTGTATAGGCATATTAAATTTTGTACAATATAGTATTTGATCTAATATACGATAAAGTACAAGAACAAATGCAAATGTACTCAATAAAATAAGAAAATTAGTAAAAGAAAAGTTTATCTCTGTGGCAATATAACGATTCACAGTTTGCTATGTGAATTATTAAGCTCGATAAATGTTGATTGAAAATCACCAATTTTTTGTACGAACACAATAATGTTAGTTATAATCTTGTAATCTATAACTTTTTAGGAATGTACTCAATGGTACGTTGAGCAATTATTAGAAGTCTAGCAATTAAGGCAGCTTTTGTATGTCCTTCTATTGCAATCAGTTTTCATTTTTGGTGTACTTTGTTTTAAAATACATTTCATTATTTTTGAAACATTTACAAGTAAGAGTTGTATAAGAAAACAGTTAAGAGAATTTCCAAAGGGTATGTATAATATATGTAAATTCTCTATGTTTGATTACACACCTATTACTTATCCATCTCCTCAAAAATGCAGAACTTAATTTTTCTGGTTCCATTATGAAAGACATATAATGATCATACATCTTAAAAAGAAAGCATTGATATCTTTTGAAAAGCTATTTGAAATAATCCGTATATCAACATAGTACATATCATATGACATAATTAAGAGTCTGAAAGAAGACCTTTGGCTTTTGTTTGTTGACTGTATCGTTCTTACGATGTCTCCGTACTTTTTGCACAAATGATCACTAAATTTAACAATACTACGGTATGCTGTATTATGTACAAACGTGCTTTTTTATGAGGCTAAAGTTTCTACGAACATCACACGAAATCCGCAAAATCTTCCCCAATTAACACGTTGAATTACTAGTTTATGCTACCACGAATTCCCTTCCATATTATCAAGTAAAGAATTCTTCTCTTCTTTCTTATTATCGTTACTTCCCGCCACAGCAGTACGTAACTTTGGTTCGAAACATGGCTGTAAACAAATAAAATGTAGAATAATAGCGATACAATAGATTTGATTTCCAAACATTCTTAGCGTAAAGCATGATCCAATGAATTACAATATGTTTCCCACATTAAATAAAATCTTACTGCCTCTTTTTGATTAATTTCGCATGTTACTAATTTTAAATACCGGAATGTTAATAAGTTACATTTAATAATTATACAGAATTCGAATTTATTCGTGGTTTTACTGATACTGTTATGACACTTTTAAAACAGTCCACTTTTTACACTGAAATAAAAACAACAAGTGTAGATTTTCAGATTATTTAAACAATAAGTGATATTACACCATATCATGCAAAAAAGGCATAATAAAATGATTCTAAAAACTAAGCAATTGGCAACATAAACAATACATTCTGAAGGAAATACTGTAAGGGTTAGTAAATAATTGATGAGTACTAAGCAACGATCGTAGTTGTAATTTTGTATTAAATATTAAGTATCCCAAGTATAATTATTTTCAGTTATAATTAAGTGAACTATATGGCAAAATAAAAAAATATATAAATAATGTTATTGCTTTGTTCGTCTTTATAATGTACCAAGTATATGAATGCCAACAAACTGAAATCTTTTTAAGTGTATCTACAAAAAGAATTTGTCACTTTAAGGTACTAAATCAGCATTAAAAACCAGAGGTACAATTTGTTACTTCTTCTAATGAATTATAGTCTTCAGATCATTGACAAATTCTTCTTTAATCAAATTAACTGCAGCACACATTTAAAATTTTGTACTTATTGCACGTGACAAATGTATCGGACACCCATGACATGCACAAGAATGATTTTTATGCTTTAGGGGATGTTTCACTCACAGTTTCACAAATATTCATGTTGCAGCAGTTCTCTATGGTTATTTCACATTGATTGTCTGGTATTTGTGGCCTCGAGGTAAGTGGTGTTATACCACCCTTGCTCACCACAAAACGTTTCCTAATACGTGGCCGTTTTCGTAGTGTGTTCACATAGTAACTAAGTGCAATTATTACAAGCATAAGTACAATAGTAAGTACAGCAAAAGTTAATCCTATTATGGTGTATTCATAACGTTCTCCATTAGTCATGATCATTTGTGCACTTGTTTCATTCGTTTTATCACACCTGTTGATAGAAAGCACAAGATGCTTATTAGAAAATATGCTTTCGTTAAACTCGAAAAATTAAACAAGTTTAACATATATATGCAAAAGTGTACCTGCAATTAATTACACTATGGTTCATAGGAACTATTTCAGTTTTTGCACAAATGGTCTCACATGTTTTTGTCACATTACTGGGATTTTCACAGCGAGATCCTTCTGAATATTTACATTTACAAACTGGTTTTTCGTTTTGGACGGAACATTGACCACCGTGCAAACAATAGTTTATGCAGGGGTCTGTTGCACATCTTGGTCCAATAAATGTACCACTGCATTTACACGTGGGTAAATTATCAGTGTTTATACTGCAACTACCTTGAAGGCAGTAATTGTGGCAAAGGTTTATTTCACAATGTGCACCAGTGAACCTAAAATATATGAAATAGCATTTACATAAAGGTGTGGTTGTATACAGCTTATTCTATTCTATATAATGAATTAATTAAGAAAAGTATAGTATAAGAATTAATATTTAAATTTCAATGTCTCAAAGAATACTTCTAATAAAATATAGTGGTTTTTCTACATGATGTTCTCAAGTTACTTGATATGTAGCATGATCATCGCCTTTTTTGCAAGTTTGTTCTTCTTAGCAAGGCGTGGTTGGATATTTCATCCATATCACATACCACTGATTTAATAGCTCAACATTTTTTTAGAGTCATATTTCTCATTAAATTCCACGTTTAAATAACTTTTTTATTCAAAGCATTATCTAACATTAGAAATGTCCTACTGCATTTTCTAGTTACCATGATATAAGAACAAAATTGCAAAAAAATAAAATTCCCCTTCAAAAATTTAATTCTTTTGGCTTTCAGTTACATTTCCTGTTTTACAGAGGATATGTATTATGCAATAAAAAATAAATTCACATTTAAATATCTTCTATGTGACCTTGTTTTCCAGTTTTCATTATTTATCTTTGTAAGATCTAAAAATTTGTAATTATAATGTGCTTGGTGAATACCTTATCTTTGACTGGTATCAATTATATTACCATTTGTCAAGGTTCTACGCATGATAATGATCGTTGTTTCTAACCAGTTTCATGAATTACAGGAATTATCTTGCCAAAACTAATAGAATGTAACATTTAATATATATCAAGAAATCCTACATGAATACAAAACCATGAAAGCTTGAAAATGTTTCTTCAACTGCACAAAATCCATTACCATCCACATTATTAATACATCAAAATATTTCTCTCTCCACCTTCAGTGTATCAAGAAAAAGTGACCCACAATAAACACATAAAAATTTACTAAAATTCTTTAAAAAACAAAATCCAAGGTCTTTCATGATCAGAATAGGACTAGATCTTTCTCTTCAATTGTCACAAAATCTCTTTTCATGCTTGAAGCTTCAAAATCAAATTATATAGGTACCATTAACAGGTTCGCTACCAACGTCACATACTTGTGACAGGCGCAATCTTACATTTTACACAAAACAAATAAAATTAATCTTATAGATATTGTTATTTAAAGTTATAAGCTACGACATTATATTTAGGAACTCAATAACTTGTTCCAGTTTCATTTTCTCTTTCATATTTTGTTTAGATTTATTGGATTGAATAAAATATCACAACTGAGGAGATCCTCACCGAAATAAACGCTGCTAGTGAACGTGTTAACAGGTTCAAGCATAGTGAACCACTCTATATAATATTCTACCACTATCATCCCCTATTTAAAGCTCACCCTGGCTTGCAGCGGCAGATCTCGTCAGTGTCGTCCATGATTCCATCATTGAGGCAGTATTGTGATTTCTCGGTGACCATTTCCGATTCCTCGGTACCGGTAGGTAAATTGTTCAGCGACGGCAGTGCCTCCGGGGCTAACGTCGCGTTCGCGTAATTCATAATCCGCTCGTATCTCTCGCAATCAATCTGCTCCGTGTTATCCCGTGTGATAATCCCATTCAGTTCAGCGAAGTGGGGATACAAACGATACGGCCTGAACTCCACTGGCGACTCCTCAGGTTCCGCGTTTTTCGGCAACGACCAAATCCTTTTATGGACCCGATCGGACCAATACAACGTGTCGCGGTCTATGGCCAAATAGACAGGTTGATGGCGTTTAATGCGTATCACCGTCTGGTTATTTCTACCGTCGAGATTGGTGCGCTCGATCGCACTTCGTTCACCCTCGATGTCGTCGGTCCAGTAGAGCTTCCTTTCGGCATGATCTATAGCCACTGCTAGTGGCTCGTACAGCATATCTTTTTTAATAACGGAAGTTCTCTCGGTTCCGTCTAAATTCGAGCGCTCTATGCACTGATTCCCTTTATTACTATTTACCCAGTATATGCGACTGGAAACAACGCACAATTATCAGACACCCGCGATTTCCCGTACTCCGACGCGTTTAAATTCTCTTCCCCCGTATTACGTTTGTTCTTTGTTTCATTTTCATTCTCTTCTTTTTTGTTTCAAGTTTCGTTCGACACGATTACATTCAACGAGCAAACCGTCGACCGGAAAATGGAACTAAGAGGCTGATCGAGAGATCTCGCCGCCGAGAATCTCTGCAACACCCAGTCTACATACGACATAAATGGCACACCTGTTACATAGATCCAGAGCGATGCCCCGCGCGCTGCTTCCCTTTAAATCGTGGAGGAGGGCGGGCTTTTCCGGTGGTCCATCCAATGGCACGTGCATTCTCATGATCGCACTTTTCACCCCGTCGCTCCAAAAGAGGTTTCGCGTCTTCGCGTCGAAAGCGAGTCCTACGATGTGGTTGTTCTCTTGTTCTGTGGATAACGATAGACAATTTAGAGGGGCGTAACATCTAGGGATGAAAAACATTCTAAAAGCAACTGTTTCAAACTGTTACATATCGGTTCCGACTAAAACAGTTATGGAGAACCGGTATAAAGGTACAACTGTTAACCCTTTGCACTCGAGAGGTGACTCTTGGTCACCATTTGATTCGATATACCAAAATTATAAAGTCTCACGCAGAATATTAAGCTTCGCATAATCTATAATGTATAATATATGTGAAATATTGAAATAATAATATTGCTTCTTAATTTATGAGTGTTCTCTCGTTCAGTTCGTTTCAAGGAGTGTCGTATATAACTTATTGAAAAATGTTGAATATTTCTAATGAAAGGCTTCCGAGTGCAAAGGCTTAAGTAGGTCTATCAGCTTTGGTTCTGGTCCTTCAGAACCTATATTATATCGATTCTACAATCGTTACTTTTCGGTTCTGCTTTCCGATTCATTTCTTTCAGAACTAAACAATAACAGTTATAAAACCGGAACTAAATCCAATACTACTCGGAACTGATATAGCTAATAATAATTATAACTTTATTTCGGACATGACAACGTCTTTCACATTGAAAACTGAAATCTCGGATTGAAGACTAAACCTGGAAGACCTGCTCGATCCTAAGATCATACGATCCGACATTGAGAAAGAGAATTTAAGGGCTGCTTTACTTCAGTAGTATCCGACTGAAACTTTCAAGCTTGAATATTTTATGATAATTTTGCAGAATACGTGAACACCAGACTGTTATAATCAAAATAAACATAACGAAAGGTCAGCACTTTTTAAATGTATAATTACGCGATTAGCAAGGCTCTAACTTTTTAATAGCCTGATAGCAATGCAGCTTAATTGCTTGGTTTTATTTTGACGAACACCAGTTGAATCTAATTCCGCTTTACGATGATAACAGTTAATCTCATTTTATGTGGGTCACATAAAATCTTGCAAGCAGTTCCCGCGCCGATCATTAGAGCTTCAGGCGCAAGTTTCCGGTATTTCAGAAGCTGGAAACATCTACCTGAGAACTTGGATAGACGAAGCTAAGCTGCTTTCCTTTTTCTTTTGTTGCTAATAAAACTGGCTGAGAATGTTCGCATAGTATTCTTGAGTGAATCTTTTCTTTTGAAACTGATTAAAGGATGCTGACGCGAGAAAGTATAACGATCTAGAATAGTTCCGTCTTCGCTGAATACTTATCAGCAGACTGTGGATCTTTACGCAAGTTCAAATTTTTAAGAACACAATCGGAAAAAGAGTCTTTCCTAAGAAATACTGTAAGCAGCGCTACGCTTTGGATACTTTACATGTTCCCTCATATTCCGTGCATTCCGTGAAATTTTGTCTATCAGTTTACCGATACGTGTCATTTACATCCCATAACAAACTTAAAACACATTTCTTTCAGAAACGGAGGACCAATGTCAAATAAACCATGAGAATTTCTCATTTCTAGATATGTACTGCAACATGCATAAGATTTCACTTAAAAACAGATTTTTATGTCCCTCTTCTTGTTAGCGTTAACCCAAGAACAAAAAACTATCAAAATGTCTTCAATATTCTTCACTTCGTTCTATAATCGTTGCGCGCGTTAACGATTAACGCGTCGCATGAAGTATTTTATGATCGGAGCATAACGACCAATGTACCGTCCGTTGCAGCGAACCTGGCACTCGTGACGTTATAGGGGCGGAGACGGCCACTTCGAGAACTCCAATTGCGAGTCCGGAATCGGCTCTCCCCACTCTTTGTCGCGCGACCCGATTAGTGCGCTCGAACGCTTTAGCGAATCATATAGCAGAACCGAGAATTCGTAAGGGCAAGGCGTGCGCCTTAGAATCTGATCACTCAGACCAGAGTGCCAGGTTCGCTGCAACGGAGGTAATGTACTATGGAGATGCATTTAACAATTGACGAATGGAAATACTGGATAAACAGTTCTGTTACTTACTCGTGACTAGTGGCTTCGCCGTGTCATTCTTCTCCTTTAGGTTGATACTGAACACGGAATAATTGCTGCGCGTGTCGGAGAAGAACAACGTGTTCGTGGTATCATCGTACGCTACCCCAGTCAACGATTCAGCCTCCTTTATTTGAATTTGTCCAGCCAGCGTCTTGTTCCGAAAAAAAAACTCGACGCTGTTCCCGATCACCACCGCTAAATCTGCAAAGTGGACGAAAAGGAACGATGTGATTCGATTGTGTCAATTGAAATTCTATCGTATCAACGACCACGAGAAAAATTGAACTATTGACTACAATTATATAATCTTAACTAACGGTACACTTAGAAAAATGTTCCATTACGATTAACACTAGATTTACGGAACGAGCCAATTTGGCTCATACGGAATTTTATAAACGTTAGTCGGTAAATGTTTCGGTTGATTTTCATTGGTGTAATTACGCGAGTATGTTTCCTAATGGTACATTAAACATCTAATTTTCTAGATCTAAACGAACATCAATCTTTCTAGGAAGTGTAGAATGAGCTATACGATAAATGTGCAAAAATCTAGTGTTAATGATATTCGGAAACCATTGTATATAGTTAATTATTGCAGAATCATAATTATTTGATTGCTTTAACGATTCTTCCGTGTTACGAGCAGGTGTGCCCATTTCTTATCTACACAGGAAAACTGAATAGGCTTAAAAGATTTAACTATAAAACGTAGACATGATTATATCATGATAATGTAATGTAATATATATACATACATTCGTATCTTTTCAATATTTCGAGCAATGAAAACTCTGATCTAATAAATACAGAGTGATTCAAGTGACGTCAAATACTTTCCGTTTACGCGCACAATTCCTGGTTCATAAATATAGAAATCAATCTTTGCGTTGTTACTGAATGGCAAGCATTGAATTGCTCGTGCAGCGAGTATGCAGTGTTCAATGAAGTTTTTCTGAACTTTTAGTCCCGATGTATGTACACGTGACTGAATACCGTTTGTAATCGCTGTTTCTGATATTCAAAATAATTTTTTGAATTCGAACAGTGTGATCTCGCAGCCTCGCCTCAGCACGACGATTTTTTACTTAATGAAGATAAGCGCACGTGTCGTTTAGATAATACAGGTTTACTTAACAGTGTCTTCTTTCTTCTCTGAACTTTCTCGCGACTCGTGTTACCGAACCCGAGATTGTTTATTAAGGTAAATCATTATTTGCAAATATTTCCTTTCCGAGGTGTGTTCATCGAGGTTCAATCTGGATAGAGATTAAATCAGTTGCGTCTAAATAAGCGTTTCAGGAGAATTCATGTCTTGATAACGAGCGAATAATGCAATAATAAAATGTAATTAGAACAAGGAAAATTGAAAGGACTCTGCGGTGATTATAATCGGATTAATAGAAAGAAAATGTAGTCCATCTTTTTTTAAATATTTCGTAACCGACGTTAGCTATTTCCTCACCACAATCGTAACCGCAATAACAGCCGTTATCTCCTCGTTATTTCCCCGTAATCGTAATCGCGAGCACGGTAAAAATTGAAACTGAAAATTCGATTATATCCTGCAAACTTTTTCCATGTTTCTCAAACACATTCGCGACCGACAAATTTTTCACTTTTCTAATACTCATTGCCGGCGAAACTGAAGAAGGTCTTCGACTAATTTCTAATTTCTCGTGTTAAAACGGAGACGAAAATTCGAAAATTTCTTCGGAAATATTAGGCTTGCGACGATCTGTTGTTTGAAATGAAGAACTTTCCACGAAAGACGTCATAAATTGAAACGAATAGAAGGATAAAATATTTCGAAAGAGTTTGAGAAGATGCGATTTCGCGACAGCGGTCGCGAATGTGTTAACACACTTCATTATTTCAGTATTTAATATAGTACAGTAATTATCATTACTGTTTGGTTTGTAAATGTGTTTATAAATACTAGGAAAGAAACAATGAATGATTAACACGCACAGTAATCATCGGACTTCTCGGTTTCGTTTTATTCAGTCGTCGAACAGATCGTAATTCACGAAGTGGAACGCTATCGAGACACTAATTGTAGAGGTTAATGCGTAATAAACAATTTAAAATATTATGTATAATTAAGGCGCACGATATAAAGATAAGAACGTGTTAATAACTCTTATTTAGGGTTAATCGTTCTCTCACTAAAGAAAAGAGAAAGAACAGAATCGAGCGTCTTATTCATAACCGATTTTACGAGACAATTAAGTACATCAAGCATCCAAAATTTCTCGCGTGATCTTCTTAGTGAAATTCTAATGTACAAAATCATTTTTTAATAGAATCGTTCGGTGTGATTTAACCCTTCAACGCTAAAACTACCGAGCAGTAAATTAACGTTTCGAAATTCCTCCAGAGAAACTCGAAGAATGCATCTATTGAGACTTTAATTGATTTATAATTCAGCTTGAGTATTGCTGAATCAGTTTCTTTAATAATTTCTCAGAGAAACATCTATCATCCTTTCAATAATTGCAAAAAGAAATCAAGAATGACACTCGCCATATGGAGCGTCCGCAAAAATTCAGTTTCTTACTGTAACCGTATGGTAATTCCAATATTTTTCTCGATATAATCTTTTTCCTAATTGACTATTAATTACGTCATTCGAAACTTGATTGGCTCATTTCTTTCTCGTGTATTGCTACTTACGCTGGCGCAGTGAATAATTCCGCGGTTAAGAGGTTAAAAGAATATTCTCGCGATGTTTGCATTTCGTATCATTTGACAATCTCCGTGAAAAGAACGAAACACTTGTAATGATAGTGTTCTCTTTTTATCAGATAAAAGAAGCTAGTACCGTAATAAATATATTAACGCCGGCTTAGCCGGACATCAAACGTCGATCATATCGCATCACGATGACAGGCAGCAAGTTACAATCAAACTAGCGTGCAACCGGCAATTAAAGATTGAATGTTATCGCGTACCACTTTATTATTGTCATTAATGACAACAGCTTGAGGCTCAAGTGGCAGCCGGAGTTCTTGTATCACTGTTAATTGTCAGATTTGCAACAATCTAACACTTTTTTATTCAAACGCGTCGTCACGCTTCAGGCTATTTAATTCAAACGATTTTTGTTATACGCAAGAAAGAATATCTTAAAAATTTCAATTGTTAAAGGGTCCAACGATTATACGAATTTTTAATTCTATAAATTTCATGTGTTACGCGTGTATTTGGTATTATACGTGAAATCTTTGTATTACTTAATGATACGAAGCGTCGCGATTAAGTTACATGTGTGTGCAAACGATTAAATCGTTCATTGAACAATAAGAAAGAAAAAGGAAACATGCGAGTCGCGGATTGTATCGGATCGAGAAAGAAATTCAATAACTCTGACGATGTCGGCGTACGCAATACAGATGCATAACTCATGCGACGTCCATTCACAGATCAAAATGTTATCTAATACAATTCATTCATGTTCCGCTAAGTCTAAAGTTTATTACGCAGTCGTAACATGTGAATGAATTCTACACATTTCGCGATTACGGGCGGAAAATAGTAACCTTAACCCGTTAATCTGATACACATCTGCAAATATCAGCCCTGGAGCATCCGTGTATACAAATTAGAGGATGAACAAACAATTTGTTTGCGTATCTCCGCATGTGTTCTCCGCCGGCGCAGGTACGACGATAAAAAGTGCGAAGAACCCGATGGAGAACAAGTCAACGACCAATTATCTGGCTTCCTTGTCGCACCGTCGAAAACTGGATGGTTCTTTTCGATGCAGCGAACGAACTCGTAATAAAGTTTCATCTCCATTAGAATCTTTCGTTCATAAAGTATATATTTAGGGGTGCAACTGATAACTGATTCGATATAAAACATTTTGACGTGTATTCGAAAGAGAAAAAAGATCACTGAAACTTGCGTATAATTGCCAGGTAATTATCCTACACGAGAGCATAAGGAAACAAATAAAATAAAATTGTTCCATTCGAAACTTCGTTTTCGAGAAACTTCAGCTTCGAAGTCTGTTGATTTCGTTGGTGGATGCGAAATGAGAAGATAAACGAATATTGTTCTACATTTTTGCTAATTTTCGCATGTAGAACAACCCCTGTTGATTGCACCACCTGTTTCAGCCGAGGGTTAGCCGAGTGCGCGTGTGCTCGGCGAAACAGTGACGCGCAGATCTTCGCGAAAATGAGGTCTCAGAGGGAGAAATCCCATGTTCTACGTCGGATTGAATTTTTTTCACGTAAAATCACGAATTGCAGGGTACCCTGCAGACTTCCCTGGAAACGATACTGCTATCGTGAATCCATTGTCTACCCTGTCTGTTTTTCGAAAGAGGAGACTTAAGATACACCGACAGTCACAATAGCTGTGACAATAATCCAGACACCCAAATGTCATCAGTCCGTAGCGATTGCACCGTGTCGGTTAATTTATTACGGCCGAAGGTGTACGTTTCACACTTCGAAGATACAGGCCGCAGTAGATACAGGATAGTGTAAATAAAATATAAATAATATGCAATTCTTCGAAACACTTATTCATTTCTCGATAATATAATATACTCTAAACCACGATTTTCTTCCATTCTATTCGACGCTTCTAGATTGAATCGAGACACACTATAACTGTAAAGTAGAACATTCGGAAAATATAAATATTAATATGTTGAAATAGAAGATGAAGACCGCGTGACAACCAGGAAAAATTTATCGGTCGAATTTGTTTATACAAACAAGGACTACGTAAACGTGTTTAATATTAGACGGATATTGGAAAATTTGTTACGCAAGAATTACATCATTTATTTTGTCACCGTATCGAAACCGGAGCGTAACCAATGTGTAGCGAAGAAATATTCCGATGGAGTAAAAGTTATCGAGGAGACCGACTGTGTCAACGAATAGGTTGGAAAGTCGAAGATCATCGGTTTCTTTCGCTTCGCGATTTACTTCGCCGGGCAATAAGTAACGCGCGACCGCCCCTGCCGCCCCATCGCGGAATGAATTTGTTCGTGTTTTCGCGCACAACTCATTAATTGAGTAATTTACGTGCGACCACCGAGATAATAAAGTTTCGTCGACGATTTACGATCAAGTGCGCAGCCATGTAGACGTTGTTTACAGAGGAAACGATAATGCGAGGAAAACATATGTTAATGGGAACGCTGGCGCGTTACGATCGCGTTAAGGTCTCGATGATTCTACCAGCAAAGCGTAATCGTAGTGCTTTTTCTTGTATAATTGACGCCTGAGAACTTTTCTTCGCGACATATCACGTAAAACAGTGTTTCTATTATTACCGCGTTAATTAGTTGAAAAAAGGAGCTGTATTGACTTCTGGCAAACAATGTGTTTGGGAGATAATAAATCAGATTAGAAAAGAATTCTGTTTTAATTGTATGATAATGAATGGGTAATGTTAGTGTGTACATGATTGTTAATTGGCTTGAGGTTTGTGGGGTTTAGGAAATCGTACTGAATTATTGTTTAACATTAAACTTACCGAGTAGTTAAATTGACTTTTTAAAATTTCTCTAGAGCAACTTTAAGAGCGCATCTATAGTGACTTTAATTGATTTACAATTCAGTTTGCGTATTGTTAAATTAATTTCTTGAATAATTTTTCAGAGAAATATCTATCTTTTTAATAATTGCTAAAAGAAGAAATGAGGAATGGGTCATTTTGACTCGTCTGGCAGGTTAATGTTAATTAACAAATAACTGTTAATTTCAAGAAATCAACCATTTTAACCTGTTTGGTAGGTTCAGTGTTAATTAACTGTTGATTCCTTTAAATTGCACGCATTGAAAATGATGTGTTTTGAAAATTATATGGGATGACGAGTATATAGAAATGCGATGGTAAGTGACTTACCTTTATAGTGATCGTTTTTGTTTTCGATTTTTATTCGTTTTAATACTGTCACTGTATACTATGATGCTCACCGTATATATTATACACTTGTAACTATCTACAGATAATTAGCATAAATATGCTCGGTTGCAAGCGTAAACGTATTCTACTTTGATACTTTAATTATAACTTATTGAGAATGTGCATAACTATGATAAATAGGAAGCTATTTGTAGTGCACTGTTGTTATGTCACTATTATGTGAAAATATTAATACGAAAGAATGTTCAATACATCCGATATTACGACCTAATATATTATTATTGTAATTGCAAGTAACTGCAATTTTCCCAATGTTACTTTTTAAGCATTCTCATTATTTTGTGAATTGGAGGACATTGGAATCGAATAATCTCTCTTTCACTTATCTCTCTCAGTTTATCTGAATTGGAAGATACATTTGTGCCAAAAATATTGTAATGAATAAGTCTGTTTAAAAATTACAGACCCGTGATGAATCATTGATTTAAAAAATCATTTATACCTCTAACAGTTTAGAAATTAATCAAAAAATAATTTCACAATTCCTCCAGTCACATTTACCATAAAATATGTTATTAATCTACAATTACCGTCATTACTATCTTTCTATCATTTAGAAACTACTCTCGACCCGAATTGTTACAATATTATTATATAATTCTTATGTAATTCGATGACTCACTACTACCACCGATTATCGAGCGATCTTGATCTGTAACGCTCGACCAACAGTCAGTTAAACCGTCATCGATCAATCATCACGAATTAAGATAAATCTCCTCTCGATTAAGCAGCATTTTTAACAAACAGAACCCCTTTAAGATCATCATTTCCCTAATCGAATTTAAAAAATATCATCGTCATTATTTCCGTGTTACCCGGTATAACTTTCGAACGATGGACTGCCCCGAGAAAACAATTCGAACGTATTTTCCCTGTTAAAAGTAACTAAATCGAACGGCACGGACGTCAATGAATATTTAACAATGAAAAAAGGAAAATTACAAGGTTAACCGACTCATCTTTCGCCTCATTATTTCCGGTTCGATTTTTTCCACGTCGCTTCGCATTGCTTTTGGCAACGTCTCGCATAACTTCACTCGGAGGCTTAAATTTCGCTTCGCAAGATCACGATAAGAAAACCTCTGCCCGCGACATCGACACGGGCCATTCTCGTCACGTCCATTCGTAATAATCGCGGGTTCACAAAGTGAACCTAAGTAACATCGAAAGAAGACCAAAGCTAAAGGTGCAAATACAATAATAAGAAACTTGCAACGTGTTTTTTCTAACAGCGACTCTCGTCGCACATGTGAACGCATCCGAAATTACTGGCGGCAAATTCAATTCGCTCGCAACATTTTCGCTGTCGCGAGTTTCTATCCCGTGTATCCGCACCTTAACGCTAGAACTACGTAACAATCAAAATAATTGGTTACGATTTGCTGGTTTCCTAATTATTGATATCTTAAAAGGATTGAATATTTGATATGATCTTGAAAATAGTTTCCCTTGAATACAGTAATGAATGTCTGAAGAAACTGAAAATAATTTGTTACAATTTTTCTCGAGATTTTTTGTTTCGCAATGATTGATACCTTAAAATCATAGAATTTTCTAAATGATCTTGAAAATAAATAGTTCCCCTTGAATGCTATAAAGAATGTCTGAAGAAACTGAAAATAATTTGTTACAATTTTTATAGAGATTACATAATAACAATACAACTACCGTACCAGTCAAAAGGTTTCGACTTTTCGTTTCGTAATGATTGATATCTCAAAAGCATAGAATATTCAAAATGATCTTAAAAATACTTCCCCTTGAATACTATAATAGAGAAACTGAAAATAATCTATCGTTACAATTTTCCCAAGGATTACAAATGAACCGTATTAAATGCTCGGTTGTCCTAGTGTTAATCGTATTAAGCACTCGATCGTTCTAGTATCAAGCGGCATCGGAAAAGACCGCGAAAGGCTCCGTGGCAACCTATTTCGACGATTACCGCCGAAGTCAGCCGTCACACTTCCGCCGATATACAGTTAATGAACCACGTAAATCGAACCGCGAGCTCCCACGATCGAAATGAACTGTCTCGCCCTTTACCCCGTGCGATGCGTATCAACAAAATCGTCAATTCATTTCTCCTTAGGGTTACGTAACCTAATTTTCATGTACGATCGAACCGTTAATTAAACAGAACGCACATAAATGTGCCGTACAATGGACGATCCTGCGCTCGTTGGTTTCGCGTGTTTCGAATTCTTTCGTAACTCGCATGCTCGCTCCAGGAACGATTACACGTTACGTTTCAACCGGACGACACTGGACTCGTTCACTCGAGCATGCAACAAGACGTTCTCTCGTTTCTACAACTAAACGATACGAAAAAAAAAAATTAAAAAAGAACCTAAAGGTCACGGCTAAGGCAAATCGTCCGATGCCCTGATCGAATTGTGCATCTACCGTGTGTCCCACGCGCGCCAGATTTTCCGCACGACGAAGTCGCCGGTGTCACGACAGCCCACTATCAGTATTATCACATAATCTAAAATTCCAAAACTTCTCTAGAGTTTTACTTGAATTTTTTCTTCCTCGGAGGAATCATTGTTCCACTTTCATTGACGTGTACGCGCCGTATGCACGGGTCGTGCGGAACAGTTTGACATTCATTACGTAAACAGGTGTAAGGACGAGTATCGTTCGGCAGAATTGTCACGTTAATAAACGTCGGACGGTTCCACGGTGCGTTTCGACACGGATAAATGATCGGTTTCATTCACCTTTCGGCCGTGTTTCGTTTTTCAATACGGCCAAGCGGCCCCGCAGAAGTGGCGTACGTGACGAAGGGAGCCGCGTGAATGGAGTCGGCTCTGTACTACGACCCGCAACGCGGCCGTATCGACACGACCGCGTGTTGACGCCGCGTTAGAATCGTCGGGAGGTAGACACGCGTTTACACGTCACAGAAGATCGCTCGCCGGGACATCGGTTTACTTACCCCACGACCTGGCGTTCGCGTTAATTGCGTGGATTCCGAGTACAATCGTTAACGCTACAATAAGGTATTCACGGGGTGTCATGGTGCGTATTCATTTATCAGCCGATGGATAAGGCCTGAATGTACTTTCGAGACACGTCCGCCGCCGGTACAACTATGTTAATCCACTCAGGCCCAACTTTTTCTCTGAGACTCTCACAGCAATGCGGAACGAACACTGCCACACGTCCTCCCGCTCTAGCGGCTGTGCGCGAACTGAGGACTCGTGACTTTGATACGACTGTTAAAAGCTCGCGGATTCCGGCCAATGGCGTTCCTCACTCTCGCGTCGAGTTAAACACGTTAAATATCGGTGTTAATCAGGTATCGTTGTTTCCCGAGTGCACGCACCGGTTTTACACGCGTATCACTTTTTAATGGTTCACGTTCGTAGAAATCGTTTCGTTTTGACATCGGATGGGGTTACTTTCGATCGCGATTTTCAACACTTGATCACACATTAACCACACCATGTATATACCTATACATTTGAATTTTCTAGAAACGATGGAAATTCTTTCGCGACGTTATGTTTATGCTGAGCAAGCTTGCGTTTTACATATTTAGTGACTTGGCGTTATTACGTTCATCCTATGCGACGATTGGCTCTTCTAATCGCAAAGTCAACCGTTGTGCGTCTAGTCTAATCAGGTAATATTTCACGCGTGTTGTTCGATTGGGAATTTTAAGAGACTGACTAAGAGAAATCTTTTCGTCGTGCTGAGATTGCGAGTGTTCGAATATAGATTGAATTTAGAGCACCAAATACAGCTTGCGATCTGTCTAGGCTTGAACATGCGAAGCATCGAACGAATGCTTAACCCACTACACTTGGCTAGGACGAGAAAAACGTCCTTTTTTCCATGCTAAACTCGGACTGCATTACGATTGTTCCGTGGCGTTTTATTGCGTATCTTTGGCGTTCGATCCGTCGCAATCTAATAAACGTTTTACGTTCAAATTACGTATTAGCAGTATATCAATTCAACTGAATTCTTTCGTGAAAGCTACTTTCAAAATTAATTAACAAACAAATATAAGATAATTATATTGAATATTCATTGAAACTAGTAAGTTCAATTAAAAATAATAATTGTTTATGACGCAACGATACCATGTTAATTTTTATATTTTATCGTCAAACTTCTATTTCGCGCGTAATATGACAGCGCCATCTACCGACATAATCGTGAAGCTAGAGCAGCGTATTATTCACAATAGAATCCCGCCTTGCTTCCGTTTCGTCTATGATTTACCCCTACAGTCATGAGGCTTCCATTTTAATCGAAACAACGAACAGTCCGTTTCAATACGAATAGAATTTAGTTTCTACGAAATGTCATCAAGCAAATGACAGTAAACGAGACGCAGAACGAAATTTTTATTCAAGCGTATCTCAACACTTGTCAACACTACTGTTTCTCAATACCTTCAGCGTAATGTTACGCTTCTGTCCGATCCCCATTTTACCCGTCACAAACATGTAAATAATTCCGAAAAAAATTCCAGAATAATAATAATAACAACAAACGGATAATATTTAATCATTTACCAGATAATTATTTAAATAAAAATCCCTACAAATTCAAACGAATCCCGACAAAAGTAACAACGCTACGGAACAGTTCGCAACTGCGCCACCATGATCTAACCTTGCGACGAAAAATAAAATCCTACCGCTGACATTTCGTCCCGACCGGTACCCGAACTGCAAAAAGCACTCGTGCGAAAGATTTATGATCCCGTCGTGCATAGAACCACCTCGAAGAAGGAATCTTCGAAAAAGAACGCCGCTCGCCGCGGCCTCGGAACGTGACGCGAGAATCGTTAGAGGAAAAGCGCGCGCGAAGCGGGAAGTGTTCTCTGCGGCCCCGAAGCGACGACGCCGCGTACTAAATGGTGTATATTATTGATCAATAAGAGAGGCTAACATGGATGACCCGTGCCGGCAGAGGCGGCCGTTACTTCCTTCGTATTTTCACGCCACGCGTCTCGATCGCGAGTACCCGATTCCCGGAACCGTGTGCGACCGCGATTTCGGTGTTCTCTTCGTCGTGCCCGAGCGGAACGTGCGAGCGTATTCGAGGTACCGGCCGTATGTGAAACGCGCGACGGTCTCGTACGTCCGTGGAAATACGGGAAACGAGGGAGACAGAGGGAGTAACGCAGAAGAGTAACGGCTGGACACCGACAAGAGCACGAGATAGGCCGCGGGTGAAAAAGGGTGAGAGAGTGGGAGAGACAGCTCTCTAGAGGGAAAGAGAGAAAGAGAGAGAGAGAGAGAGATTGAGAAAGGAAGAGAGAGCTGTCGGGGAAGTAGAAAGGGAAAGATAGCGGCGCGAGGGACGACAGAGACAGAGGCAAGGGAGAAAGACAAGTGTGAGCGACATGTGCCTGTGTTGAGAGAATTCTGTCCACGATAGTGCGGCGGCCGAGGGTGCGCCGAGAGAGAAGATCGGTAATAATTTCTCTCCTGTGTTCCGATACTCTCTCGTCGCCTACACGGAACTATCGATGCAGACCTTACGGAAGAAAAACAGTCCGTGCAAGTGTGAGTAAAAAATCCACCCCCAAAGTACGGGTCGTACGGTTTTCAATGGAAACGGAGAACGTGGAAAAGTTTCGTCGACGTTTCCCTTGTGGCTAGTGGGGGATTGTTTAGTGATTCGAGTCGATGTATTCGTGCCGCGACTGGAGGCTTTGCTCTTGTCCCGTGAGTTCTTTCTCGGTTATTGTTCGAGCATGACGTTCGTGATATCGCCCTGCAGATCGGTCAAAGGGAGCTTTGGAATATGGCTTCCCTTCTTTAAGAGGGAGAAAGACGACAGTCGCTCGATTCGAATCAGGCGGATTAACGTGACACGTAATGGTAGTATAACGTACTATATAGTTGCATGAATTCTATTGTACGGTGATGATGTTGCCCGGGGTCGAAGGGTTTCCCCTGCTAGGAAAATGACAACGGTGCTACAGAGTCCCGAATTTTCGCGCGAGCTTTCGTCGTAGTACCGATCTTACCGACTGCGCTGCTGCGTGTCGCGCTGGCTGCGCTCGTTCACCGTTTCAACGGCAGATGGGCGCACCAGCAGATTTCGTCGGATATGAATTTCTGATTATACTACTTTATTTACAGATGCATAATTCTACGATGCAAATAATTGTACGCGGTCCTTTCGTTGGATTTATGTTGCAGACGTATGAATATTTAATGACTCGAGTGGTTGACGTTGGATGAAGAAGATACGCTTTCGTCGTCGAACGTCAACCGACGATTTCGCAATGTTTCAAAATCGTTTGTTGCGTAGTTAGCGTTTCTGAGGTTATGATGTTATTACCCGAATTCCGGGTTGCCGATGGATTAAATCATTATTGTTTTACCTTCTCCGATGAGTATTTGTGTTAGTCATTTTGCTGGAAATGGTACCTTTTTCTGATCATCGGTATAGTTTCTTATTTGCGAGGAATTATTCGAATACACTCGATCGTTCACATCGTGACCGTTAAACTGTTTCAAAATCGGCATACAGCGAATATTTTACCTTCTAATTTGAGAAACCCCTCTTAGAAATGATACTTTATAAATTATTCTTTAAAATAATAGATTCGATTTTAGAAGCACATATTTCTTTATTTTAATTTTCTATCAACGTACTTGCAGTTAATTGTCCCGCATTGTCACACCCGTCGCCATTTAAATTCAAAGTACCAGAAGTCAGGCTGTTGTATTCACTTTCTGTATCTCACTCACTAAAAACATTATCAATGCATTAACCCCTCGTTCTAGAATATCGTGTCAGACTCGTGAAGATTTCAAATAGAATTTAACAAATATAAATATTATTCAATTTGTTTGATTGCAAATTACATATTATTCCTCTGTTATTAATGATTATACCTTGGAGTACGCGTTGGCGTAAAATAAGATTGGAATTTTCTTTTATCTTTTGATAACTATAAATATAACTGTAAATAACTTAGATAACTATAAATATAACTATAAATATAACTATAAATAACTTAGATAACTGTAAATATAACTATAAATAACTTAGATAACTATAAATATAACTATAAATAACTTAGATAACTATAAATAACTTATAAATTATTGATAACAAAGCAGTTAGATCATAAGGCAAGGGATTAAGCACCGAAAATAAAATTAAAACTCCAAAATGTCCGAGAAAGGATCGTTAAATATTAGAATAATTATGCATCATCAAATAAAAGCCTATAGCTGGTATTTTTAAATCAACCCCCCTGGGTGGCAGATATAAGCGACCTTGGAAATGTTCGCCACCTCTAAGCATCGGTATTTTACCCTCGCAATCCAGCCGGTGTTCTCGTTCCCGATCCCTGAACCGATATTTCCATCGATTCGAAGCTTGCGAGATTTTCAACGATCGGGAAAGGGAGAACACCACGCACGCACTCGCGCGACGGTGGTATTATTCGGTGGGAGTCTAGTGGTACTCCTAATTCAGCCGCCGGACTCGCCATATTTTATTGACCCATTGTTTTACGCTGGCGATGCTCGACGCGGGGGCGATTGTTGTGACAGAGCAAGGGGCAATAAAAGTCTCGTGGCGCAGGAGACTTGGCAAAGGAAGATGTGTGCGAAGGAGAAAAAGCTCGTCACAAAGGTGGCCGGCAAATGGAGGAGAAAAGGAGCAGAAGGGGCGTTTTCGGGAAGGGGGGAAGGGGAATGGGTCGGGAGGCATGAATTGGTTATCCGGATAGAGTCTGAAGTATCGACAGTTGGCATTCTCCACTCGAGCCCGCACGAGGACGTTCAAACAAATGTGCCGGTGTGGTCGTGATTATTAAAGTCGCGAGGGGGTCGTAAAAAGTATGCGCAGAGAACGCGTAGACAAGGGAGCTACCGACAAATTGTCCGCGGAAAGGCAAAGCCTGCAGTCGGTGCTATCGGATTGGCGATACAGGGTTTGAAAAGATGACCGGCGAGTTAGATGGGAATTTGTCCCCGAAATTTCCGGTCCCTTCGGAGGAAAAGATTCGATTTGTCTAGTTACCGGGTCCGAATAGGGCGAGCGGTGAACAAAATAAAGGAATTATTCGACGAAGGCTCGGCGACGATACTCGTTTCACGTTTTCACGGCTGTTAAATTGATCGTATCGCCAATCAACGTATTAGTTGAAGAGGCTCGGAACGATCGCTGGTAGATCAGTCGCAACCCCCCGCAGCTTCCAATCCGATAACCCAATACTTCCGCGCTGAACGGTTCAGCTCCGCGTGAGCTTGAATAAGACCGCATGCGGGGTTATTAAAACGAGCATCTAACGCGACAGATTTCGCGTTACTTTATCAGCTGCCGTGCGAACCACTCTTCGCGACGCGGGGATCTTTTTGAAAAATCATTCCTATCGGTTCCGTGTATACACTTCTTCCAGCGCCTTGTTACTTTAACGTCGGATCAATTCGTAGGCTTATTGATCCTTGTGCGATCGAAATGCGGGGTAAAAATTTGATGCGCACTACCGACTAGAATTTCTTTATTTATAGTAACATTGTGTACTGTATCTTTGATGAATCGATGAGCGATCGGTTTATTCACCCATTTACTAATTAGCGAGCCACTACCCTTTTAGTGGAATGCAAATACATGCCCCCTCCTCTTCGTTGTTAAGAGTAGTTCCAGTAGTATGAGCTACCGAGTCAGTATCTAAGAATGATTTATAGTTCGACAAATTCTGCGAGGCACGGTGTATTGGAAAATTGCATCGGAAAACGATACAGTTTCACGTGAAAGTACACCGATCTCGCGGTGAACATAGAAGGTTTTCAAAACGCTATCAACCACAGACGAAACGAAAATCGGCTTTCGTTGCAGTCAAGAACGAACGAACCCGATTTCTTGGGGACGGTGTGTCGTTCAAGGCAAAGCTGATTGGTATATTGGAAGTATCGGAAGCACGCGGGGACCGGATGTGCCAAGCAGCTTTGGCGGATCTGAAGATGGCGATTCGTGCGGCCGGCGAACACAAACAACGAATCTCCGTTCAGGTCAGCATCGATGGGCTACGCTTACGGGACGAGAAGTCGGGGGTAAGGATACTAATCAATCGCAAATACTAATGAAAATTATTCAACGGTAATCCAAATATATGTCGAATAGTTTTCCGAGCAGTGTAACATATTGAAAATATATCAAAATCAATATATACCACTCGTCTGACTTCTCTCGTCTATTTGATTAACTTTTTAACGACATCGATAACGTGTGACTAACGTATTAAATGAAAACCGATGCGTATACTTACAGGTAAAATAATATTCTTCGATAGACGAGTTTATAATAGTCCGTGAATGATTATTTAACACTGTTTTCTTGAAATATTGAATTCCATCGATAGCAGCAAGATGTTAATGGAATTTTGTAGTCCGTCCATCGTGACCTAATAAAGATTTCAAGGCCAGGGCTCGAATACGTCTGTTCCAGGACTGCCTCTATCACCATCCTGTACATAAGATATCGTTCATCGCTCAGGACATGAGCGACTCGAGGGCGTTCGGATATATTTTTGGGTCACCGGACACTGGGCATCGTTTCTTTGGCATCAAGACGGACAAAGCAGCGAACCAAGTAAGATTTATACCATACGGGAACTGATGCAACAATTCCGCCATCTCGAAATTTCGGAAGAAATCGCGGCTGATTTCAATCGTAGTTAAGAGCTAGCGAGTTATGGGCGTAGAAGGAAATTCATTTTAACTTTGTAATTCGAGTATTGTCTTTGAATAGCGGCGGGAATGTACGCTTCGAAGGTTTAATTCGATAGGAGGTCCCGTTCGTGCGGGAATACGATTCGTAAACGCGGTTGAAGCGTGTCATTTATCGAGAACGATTCGCTTTAGCGAAGCAGGGGGGTTTAAAATGATATTTGTCCAATCCGGAGGAGCAATATCGACCTCGGTGGCTCAGTAATTCCGGAGGGGCATGTAAATAATTGCATTATACGATTCGGCCTGGCACTCCAGCGATACGCCGCGGGAGATTGTTGTTCGATTATACGCGATTCCCTTCGTGCTCGTTCAAAGGGACTGCGATATCTTCGAGTTGGGCGCCCTTCTTTGTCTCCCTTTCCGTTTTTCGAACCGTCTTCTCGAGTGCACGGAATACAACGCTTGAATCTGTTTTCGGAATTATGAAATTCCCGTGGCGTATATTCCAGTGATTTTATTTAAAAACGAAACTGGACTTCGAACGAGGGTTCGCTAAAAAATGTGAGGATATTAATTAACACTAGAACTACCAGATGGGTCAGAATGATCAATTCCTAATTTCTTCTTTTACAATTACTGAGAAGGTTCAGATGAGTCTGAGAAACCGTTAAAAAAGTTGACTTAGTAATATAGACACTGAAATATAAGCCAATTGAAATCTTAATAAATTCACTCTTATAACTTTTATAAAGAAATTTTGAAAAGACCCATAAGTGCTTGGTAGTTCTAGTGTTAGTGAGAACCTCGAGCTGGTTAAAATGATTTTGTTTTATTCATGGAACTTCTGTGTGATTTAAAAAATATTGATTTCTGCTTAGAATGTTTACTGTTATTCGATTATTAGATTTCCGTTATGTAAATATTAATTTTCAGTGTTGTTCCGTGTGTTTCGTAATGTTTCGCAGGTGGTGATCGCGATGAGAGATTTGTTCCAAGTAGTTTACGAATTAAAGAAGAAGGAGGTCGAGTTAACGCAGCAGCACTTGGAACAGAATGCCATAAGCGTTATCCACTATCATACCAGCGGAATCTTCGTCGAGCCAACTCCGGATACAAAAGTAATTGAAATGTAGATTAATGTCAAGAAAGGAACCACATTTCAATGAAGAATGGAATAAATGATCGAGATATTTGTTTAATCAGGGTGCAGCGGGCAGCGAAACTACCCTTCATCGAGTGAAGAATACGAATTCGGAGTTGGACAAACAATCCGACAGACGGAACGAGTCGCAAAGCGGCGTAATAGCTGACTTACTGGATCTACAGTTTGAATTAAATTCCCTACAGCAGGGAATCCATCACATGGATAAGATTACTCCCGAAAATCAGCCAGCGTCCTCCGAGAATCTCTTCGAGTCTGACCCCTTTGGTGATTCGTTCGCGAACATGAAAGTGCGTATTGTTCGATGAAGTTTAAATCACCTGTTTGCAAATCCTCTTTAAGTAATTTAGTATGATTTGAAATAATAATTTCAGTTGGAAGATACCGTGCGACCAATTTTGCCACCACCGCCATCAGGTTCCAAAAGGGGCCATTTAGAGCGACAGCAAACGGTTTCTGGTTCCCAGTCGTCAGTCACGTCCAGCCCAGCAGCAACGGGTACCAGTAAGACACCACCGTTCCAAAGTTCGATACAGTGGTTCGATAAGGAAACCGAGAATTTATTCAGTGACAACGAACCTTCGAATTCCACGAAGACTCCATCACTTAAGAAGGATTTGGATGAGGTAAATAATGTGGCTTCCTATTGAATCCTGGTGCTTGACCAATCCAGTGTAGAATATGCATCCCTATGCTTTCTTTTGCCGAGATAGATGAAGATACTTTAGGACCCCTTAATATTCGAAACAGTTCAGTCTACAGAAATACCCTTTTAATTTATTGCCGTCATGTATCCTCAACCTTAGCGCTGAACATTATTTCATTGGTTAATGTGATCGTATTACATTTATGAAATGATAATACATCAATAAATCGCCCATCTGCTTATCCTGCAATTTCGAATACTTAATTTGTTACAGTCCCAGGCTAAAAGTCCCCAAATAGACGTCTTCACAGAGTTAGATCCCCTAGGAACCGGTTTGATAAAACCGTATGTGGATAAGAAGGACTTCTTCCAGCACCTGAAAAATCCTCCGAAGAAGGTTCTGAAGGACCTCGTACCAACCAGTTCTCCGGACACGTTCCATGCCAACTTCGATCCCGTCTCGGACACCACGGAGACTGTGCATCAGGTACGAAACGACTTGACATCGAAGGACAGTCAGTTCGACGACAGTAACTTTGCGAACTTCGATCGTTTCGACGAGAACGAGGCGGTGCAACCGGTCTGTACGCGTTCCGATTCTTCACGACGAACGGAAACCCCTGGGAAGCAGGCACATCATCAGCCATTAGCAGTCGCGTTGCCACCTGAGGATACTCCCCCTTCCAAACCACCAGCGGTATCAGCTGTATCCGCCGCTGGAACTGCTTCATTGCTCAGCAGAATGGAGAAAGACTCCACCGAGTCTATGCACGGTTTAGTTCAACTACCGAGTCCCATAAAAACAGCGCGCAGAAAAGAGTTTGACATCGACTTGCCTAGCAGTAAAGCACAGCCCATCGAGAAGCCATTCCCGGTTGATTTTTCGGCGACCAGTGAATCACCCGCGTCTCCTTTGAAGTCATGTTCTTCTGACGCGAACTCTCGACTGTCCAGCTCTTCTGCGGAACTGGAACTCGTACCTGAACCTCCGCCACGAGGTGCCGCTAACATTCTGATTAATCCACCACCGCTGCCACCGAAGAAGCAAGGTGTTAGGGGCGCGATGAAACCTCCACCTAGGCCACCGCACACTGAAGGTTACTTCCACTATGATTTCCCTGAACGAGAACAGCCTGCCCCGGTAATAGCCAGTGAAAGGAGCAAGAGTCCATCGAAGGATGTGAAGGGACACTTCGACGACAACTTCACTCCTCCTGTTCAACTGTCCAGCAAATCGGATCTGATTAGCTCGATAACCACGTCAACGTTCGAGGATTCGTTTAGCTCTATGGTACCTACTACTAACTTGTCTACGTTTTTCACATCCACAAATACGTCCGCCAGCACGAAGAAAACGAAATCCTCGTTAGACATCACTTTAAGCCAATTAACGTCGTCTAATTTGAACGAGTTGGCTAGCAGTCTTGGCATGACCGTTCAAGAGTTAACTAGCCTGACTCTTCAGCAACTTACCGAGTGTCTGGCTGTGTTATCAGCCAAGGAAGCTCCTGCGAGCGACAGCGGAGATGTCACTCCTGTCACAGAGGAACCGGTGACCACCACAAGACCGCAGCTTGCTCCAAGCGTTAGTCAATCTAAGCCCTACACGGAGTCTCAGGCATTCGTCAAGGTTACCGAATCGGACTCCAGTTATGACTCCACCTACGACAAATACGCGGTGTTCAGAGAGTTACTAGAACTGGAACAGATAGAACGAAACGAGGAAAATGCAATGCAAGAGGAAAGCAAACAAGAGTCGCTGACATCATTAGTGAACTTGACAGTGAAGCTACCGCCGAGCAACGAGGATTTAGCAAAAGATGAATCGACCGACGTGAAAGTCGAAGAAAACGAATCTTCCTCCAGCTTAGCAAGCGAGAAAGCGCATTCTGTAGAAGCCGAAGGCAAAGTTAGGACTTCAATTACCGAGACAGAGACTGTGGCAGATTTTCTAACGAAACAGGCCACCATCGAGGTTGAAGAGGAGTTGGACAGAAGGAACTCTTTTACGGAAATGGAGGAACATGAAAAGACTAGCGAGGCCAACGAAGACTCCGACAAACCTATCGAAAGCAATGCAGAAGAGAACGGTTCGCTGGCGGCAGAAAAAACGGAAGTAAAATCCTCAGTGTCGACGTCCAGTGATAGGTACGCCGCGCTACGCGAGATTATAGGAGAGCCGGAACCGTTGCCCAAGCAGACAGAAGAGGAAGGATCTACGTCCAGCCGTGTCTCCCCTGTAATCGATCCTTTGAGTCAGTCGAAGGGCATAGCCGAAGTAGAACTACTAAATCTATTTTCCGACACGCCGCCTTCGTCGTCCAGTCCCAAAAAGCAAACAAAGAAAGAGGAAGACGCGAAGCCGATGGGCATGGACATCTTCGAGGAGATCAAGATGCTTAGCACCAGCACGCCAGCAGCGAAGAGTACAAGTACCCTGAACACGGAGGACATATTCTGCCCGTTTACCGAGTTGAAACAGGAACAGGAGGAAAGCAAGGACGACGGGAACTGGGCTAAGTTCGATACTAGTTTATTCGCCGCTGACAGGCCACCGTGCGAGGGTTCTCAACCGGCGACTAGCACGTCACCGTGGTCCCCTGATGGCAAAGAATTCCACAAGGACTCTTCGTTCAAGGGTATGTATCGACAATCTGGCGACAGCGACAACGAATGGAAAGACGAGGAAGAAAGCGAAGAGAGCAACGGGAAGTCTCGAGGCGACTGGAGATTCTGGTGCGGCCACCCTCCGCGGTTCAACGTTCCTGGGTTCGGCGAGAGACCGTTCTACGACGAGTCCGGGCCTACACCCGGCAGCAGGAGAGATAGAAGCTTCCGCGACAGGATGGTGAAGAAATCTCGCGACGCTGCGTGGCTGAAGAATGCCAGTCACAGGTCGCGAGATCCTTCGTCTTGGCACGACGAGGGACAATGGGAAGAAGAATTAAGGCGTTACCCTCATCGGAAGATGCCGTACAAGGACGATGATGATCAGTACGAGGCTCACTGGAAATGCAGATCGCAACTGCAACGGTGGAACTGGTCACACGAACCGTTTTACGACGAGGAGCGGAAGAGGAAGCTGGCGTTGTGGAATGAGGATGACAGGTTCGGCAGCCAGGAGAACATGGGTTACCACGAGGAAGACAGGTGGTACAGAAGAAAGTGCGAGAGAAGAAGATGGGAAGAGGACGCCAGGTTCTGGAACAGAAGGGCGGCGGGTCCACCGGATTCCGATTACCCGACGAGAGAGAGTTACTACTACTATCGAGAAGGCAGGGAGAGACCTCACGATTATCAGGACACATGGGACGAAGAATACGGTTCCGATCGACCTGGAGACGACTCGCCCAGATACAATCCGTCTGGCAGGAAAAGACACTGGCCGAAGAGACCTAACAGCGCCAACGAGGGTCGCAACGCCGATATGGTGTATGCGGAATCCCGCAGCAAGTTCGGCACCTCGAGATCCGAGTGTAGCGACAACGATTCTGATCCTTATTTGCGTCCATCCCAACGTTCAAGGAGTCGCGAGAGCTACTGGGGCAGCGACCAAGAGTACGACAGCTGGGCGGAGAGGCCGTACTGGTCCGAGGGGCCCGAGACGAAGAGCGACAGCCTCCATTGGAAGAGAATATCCAGGCATAAAGCCCGGCAACCGCATTCCAAGACACAGAGCCCGTTTGAGGACGATTTCGCGCAGAGCGTGGAACAAGTCGACCCGTCCGCCGTTGAATCATTAGCAGCGGTTGAACCGCGGATCCGTTCGGATATCAACGAGCAGAAACCACCATTATCTAGTCCATCCTCCAGTAAGAGGTACGTGAAAGGGGATCTATCCAGAAAGGAGGTCCAGAGAGACTACAGCAAGAGGTCCAGCTTCTTCGAGGACGACCTCACGCCCACGGCAAGCGCGTCCAGCGACGCGTCCGACCGACAGAGGCTACCCTCTGATTTGAAGGCCACCCCTGAAGAGCTACCCTGCGACGGCAAAGACACTCACCAGGTGGCGGACGGTTTCGTGTCGGAGGACAGCGGCCGCGACTCGTTTTTTAACGGGGATCTAAGATACGACGACGACACGTTCGCGTTTAAGTCTGAATTAGAGGATAGTGTACCCGATCATCGGGCCACCACGCTACCCCTGAAGAATCACAGCCGGCAGGGGAAGTACAGTGCAGGTAATAACAATAACAATAACAACAAGTCCCGGAGTGATCAGTACATCAGGAAGTCCGAGTCGGTGAACATATTCGTTAGGGAGAACGATCCGTTCGACGACGATGACTTCTTCAATTGATGTGTCGCAGTACTCGGGGCGATCGGATCTGCACGATGCTGGACATTGCGACATCTGTCGGCTAGGACGCGTTCATTTGGATAGATCCGTTGATCACGTTTCCGTTTCGACCGAGTGGCGTTGATGTTAGACCCTCTATAAAATGGAGGCTGTTTGCTCAGGGACGTTCGGAATTCGACGATTTCTTACTGAATTGTTCAATTGACAGGGAGATTTCGTCGATAGACTGCGTACTTTCTGTGTGCGGTTCGTAAAGATCTTTTTAAAGGGAATGAGGTAGATTTTTATGGAAAATTTTTTGAAAATTCGAAGCACAAGTTCGTTCTTTTTTACATCGTTTTTGACTTACTGCAGATATGGATGCAGCAAGTGAAATTCTCCTTCGTCGCGATCTTCAATTAGGAAATAGGTAATTTGCATGAAAATCTGCAGTCTACTTAACGTCCCTGGCGGATGTTCAATTGGCCACTGGAAACTATTGAAACAATACCCCCATCGTTAACATTAATTTTCAAAGCTTAAGAGTGTCTCAGAGAATATTATGTAAATAGCTGCTTTTGTCAGGGATTTTTTTCTGTCTGCTTCACAGAGAAACAAGCCTACTTGCGTTGCTCGTGTAAGACAGGAGACCACAGAGGATAACGTCTACACTATATAATATTTTCACGATTCGAATGATTTCTATCGAAGTTAGAATCCAATGAACTAATATCTCTAGTCGCATAATATTACCTGAGAGATTCTGGTACAAAGGCATTTAACGAAAGAGAAGACTATATTATACGATTAAATTGCGAAGGAAATGATCTTCAGGTCGCAACTGGATTTTCGATTGTTTCATCAACTGTTCTCGGTTGAATTCCGCTGGGAATCGAATCGTAGAGTTTCTATACCCAGAACACACGCGTTGCGCTGCGAAGTCGAAGGTGAATTCCGACGAAAACGTCCGGATGAAATTTCGGCGAGACTTTCCTGGGTGATTTACGATTCTATCCAATTCTCAGATGCTAATGGGATTCACGTTAGAGTCCAAGGGAGATCATTGTTCAGGATATCGGCCGGAATGGACATGGAAGCTAGTCATTGTTTTAATAAATTTGTACATAATGTTATATCGGTGTTAACGTGAAATTAATTCGGCGACGGGAAGCCTGTATATGTGTGTGCAGTTTATACGACGCTTGATTAACCAGTAACACGTCAGTTACTTTTGAATTCGTCTCGATTCCATCGAGCTATAGTTGTCGTGACCGTTTTCCTTTTTGTTCCTTTCGTTTCCTCGTATGATACGTTGATGCTAGTCACACCGAGGGGAGTTTTAGGGGTATTCGAAGTCAGGTTCGGTTGTTTGAGTGTTGCCGATGAAAGTGTCCCGAGATTTTTTGCGTGCGAATAACGATCTTTTATAGTCAGCTCTATCGAGGGGAATCTTGGAAGCAGATTTTTATCGTGACGACGTTTTAGCGCCCATTTTCCGGGCAGAGTTTGTAATTATTCGATAGAACAAAGCGTTTCGATGTGAAATTGTATTATTATATTTAGTAGGAGGCCAGTACTTCTTTCGAAGAGCCTTCGGTGACCAAACCTTTTCTGCTACGTTTACAGCAGGTCCAAAACGATCTTCTCAATCGCAGATGTTTCCCGTAGTCTCTATAATTTCAGCTCTATCGGTTAGCGAACGAGACAATTGACAAGGAAAGGAATTCTTCGTACGCGTCGTTATAGGTCTTTAATACTTTCAATTACGAAGACTCGGATCGGGGAAGCCTGAACGATCTCATTTTGATAGGCATTGCCTGAAACGACAGGGAATCAAAATGTGACTTTTATACACTTCTGACTGAGACGATCTTGATTCGTGTTAATCCAAGAATTACCGAATACGGCGTAGATAAAATTATGGATTACTTTTCGGACCTTTCTCGTTGAATAGGAAAAGAAGACGTGAGAATGAGAGTAAGAGTGCGAAAGAAAGAAAGAAAGAGAGAAAAAGAGAGAGAGAGAGACTTAATTGGTCTAGTCTATAATGTTTATTTATCCATTGGAAAATGGAATTAAGCTGCGACACAGTTTGTTTTATATTATTTATGTTCGTCGGCAACATATCGTTGCGTTTGATTTTAGCTCGTATTTACTGTAGCCATGCGCACCGGCGTCTTGCGGCGATTGTACTTAACGAATGATTTCCTATGATTCAAATAGCAAACTATAATTATGTTATCAACTAGTCAGAATTGTACTGACAATAATACACAGTCCGAATACAAGTACGATTACCTACTGCGGCGAGATGGATTTCTGTTTAATCACTTATGAGCTGGAACTTGTACCACCTGCGAGCGATCTAATTAGAACATTTCAATTTCTTCGTATTCGTTTCACCGTTCCGTTCGAAGCCAATCGATTGAAACCGACGGGATTTCGGATCAACGCGACGCATAAGAAATCAACTGTGATCGTTGTAGAAATGTTCGAGAAGCTTCGTTAATGTATCCGCAGCGCCATAGTTAATTATATTAAAAAAAAAACAAACAAACAAACGAATGTTTCACTCGTGCACGAGTTCACGAGATAGCTTTTATTCTTTAGACCATCATTGTAGAGACGCGATTCGGTGAGTCATGGAAATTACTTTTGCCAGTCACACTTTTCGAAAGGATCCATGTTTCCATCTCGAGATAAGTGATTAGCGGAAATAAAGATCCTCGAACGAGACAAGAGAGACACATGGGACAGCGTCACACGAAAT